GCAATTCAATTAGAGAAGAATATTCTGTCGGCTTTCAAAATCTTAAAGTGTGTTCTTTTTTCAGAAACAAATGTTACTGTGCTTTGGAAAGGGTGATATAGCTGTTGTTTAGATCTAACTGGGAGCTGAAATGGGAACTGTATGGAACAGAGTGTCAAGCAAACAATGTGAATCAGAACACGGGCCATTTGATTAAAATACTAAAGAATTTAGAACTTTAGCATTTTCAGTTGTAATGGCTTAATCTTAACATGATTCATTTCCTTTCATGTTTCTGGTGCAGCGTGACGTTTTCAAGGGTTACAGCGACTGTGGGTTTGTGCTCAGAGAGGGTTAAGGGTTGTAAATCTGGTTACATGTATCTCACATCAGAAACCACCATAAAATTAAATGTTCAGGAGGTTTTGGACTTAAACTGATTTGCACACGAGCACTGCTATAACAAAACAATGTTCCAGAGCAAGATGAAGAGCCAGAAAGCTTTTATCGGATGGTCGCAGCCAGTATAGATAGTATCATTCTGAAGCACACTTTAACAGAATTAGCTCTTTGTGAGGTTTCCCTTTGTCGCAATTACTTTAACTTTTTAAAGAACGTGGTTGCTCTTTTTTCCACTTGTAATATCATCTCTTCTCTGTTTACATTGACATTTTGAACACAGGCACCCTACTTTTAACACTTTCTGCCTTTTGTGTTATCAAAATTTATAGTAATAACAGCAATAAGACAATAATTAATTAACTAGTCATATTCCAATTATTGATAAAGTGATGCTTAGTAAGCTGATGGGTCAGCTCTTCCATTCCCATTAATAATTCTTATATAGCAAATTAAAAATTAATGGTTAGCCTTATGCTCTGTGCTTTGTTACTTTTTGTACCTATTTCACTTAATAATCATTTTTTAAACACTATCACTGCATTTGTTCTAGTTGTTATGTCTTAAAAAAAGAAAAAGAAAAACTACCACAAAGAAACTAGAAATTTCCTTTGGAATAACATTACCTCTGTGATGGTCCTCCTGCGTTCACACACATTAATTAATTGATCTGACCTTGATCACATTGATTCTCTTCCAGAATTTTAAAGTGTATATTAGTCATCCCATCTTATTTCAGACTTTAAAAATATGGGAGGATAAATATCATTTTAATGAGCATTTTCTCTCTAACACTCATTCCACAAAATTCACATCTACCTTCGGGCCTTTTAAATTTCGGACAGACGATAAAACAGGTACTTATTTCACAACAAAACTGAGAAACTGCTTTCAAATTATATGTAAACATTTTTAAGATAATTCCAATTTGTGTAACTACTACTCCTCTTTCAAAATCTTTGATTCCTCTTTGCTCTCCTTATATCTACAATATTTCAGGAGCATAACAGCTCCTTTTGAAACTGTCTTTAATAATGTGTATCTGAGAGAGGTATGGTAGGAAGTTTGTAAACTATTTCAGAGGTCATGTATGAATTTAATATTCAAAGTCACAATGTACAAATTTATAGTGCTTATATAACAGTTCTTCTCATTAATAAAAGGTCATTCTTCCAAACTCAAGAGTCAAGAGAATAACTCATGGACACATGTCAGGTGTTTGTACCAAACTTGGCATTGTACTGTCCTAATAAACACTGTATTTTTCAGGTTATTTTCTCACAGTATTGCTTTGTATATCCAAAACTTAAACACATGACCCCCACCTGTTTAATCAAATTCTTCACTTTTCTGATAAAAGTTGGGCTCTCCTGGTATACCATGTAGAGACTTGAAGATATTAACAATGTAAATATAAAACTGCAATGTATTAATTAAATGCAGTGGTAATATAGGCACAACTGAAATTATGACTGCAGTTCCCTGTAGTATCAATAAAAGGATGACTAGAATACATACAAATAAAGACACATTTTGGGCATAAATTAAATAGCTAAGCAATGAATTGGAGATTACATACAATGAAATTACTACATGGAAGATTTGTTCCCATTAGCCACTATAATGTTGTCAATGTCTTCAAGTCTAATTTATGAATGTAATTAAATAGTACCTTATGTGCAAAGAATATACAAACCACAAAACCAATAACACACATCCTAACAAATAAATAACAGCCAGGTGTTACCACTACAGACGAAGTGAAGTAACGTTGTACAGAAAGAGTTCAAGGAAAATGAGGTTAAAAAAGAAAATGGAGACAGTGGAAAGGGTACAGCGTGGTTTGTAAATATGTTGGGCTGAAGGCAAGATAGATTTGTTGATGGGATTGACTGAGTGCACCCCCTCTGTCGCTCTTTATCTCCATTGAAATGCAGATGGTGCCCTTCATGCTCTGAGCCATTCTTCCAGGCCTATTCACAAGCTACACAAGGGCCAGACATCAATGGTTGTTTCTTGAAGAGGCAGGCCCGAGATCTCTTTGCAAATTCAGTTAAATCATCGCACTCCACCAATATTTGGTGACATCAGATATTTAGGCATTTTCAAAAACGTGCATATAAGAAAAAAAAACTATTCCTGATATTACTGATGTGTACACCATTTTCTAAAGTGGACATACTGCATATACGAAAAAATCCTTATTATTACAAAAATCGGATGATTATAGAAACTGAGGGTAAATATGAATGGAGACTGGAATTAGAATGAAAGTTTATAATGTATAGTAGCTATAACTGTTAACTGTCAGTCCTTCAGTGAAATTAATGAGAGTTTAATGAGAGTTGGGATTTAAAGTGGTAAAATCTAAGATAAAATTAAAGTACAACATTAGTTCAAGCAAAATCCAATATACAAAATAGAATTATTACCCGGCACAACTGTTATATTAAAAGTACTTTTCCTTCCTTTTCACCTCTTGTTAAAAAGGAAGTTCTATTTGTTCTGCTTTTCCATTTCCTCCCTCACATACAGTATTATTAATTTTTGTGGTTATTGATACAACACCTCTAGCAATGAGACATTATGTGTAATACATATATATATATATTACATAAACCTGTGCAAGCCTTTGAAGGTTGTCCTGTTTACACGTCAGTGTGGCCTCGGAAACTTTACATATCCACATTTTCTGCAGAAAGTTATGACTGCGGTTACATATGAATGTTTTTCCTTTATTTCTCTGAGGACATATTTGAAGAACTTTAGGGATGCATTTAACATTGAGATGGTAGTCTTAGACAATAATGCTGGTGCACACTTGCTCTCATAGCAAGCCTATTGTTGCAAGAGATTTATGGGTGGCGTTGGGAACTAGAAACCAGAGTTTCTGCCCTTCTGCATTGTTAATTGTAAATAGCCAGTGCCCTTTGGTTTGACCATGGGGAGGCCAGAGGATATTATATTAAAGTGACCTTGATTATGTGACTGACTAGCTGGGTTTGGACAAAGAAGCAGGGGTATGGGTGTCTGAGCAACTGACGAGCCTCTCCAGTCATCCTGAGAAGATATTTTCACTTCTTCTGGTGCTCTCATGAAAACGACATTATCAACCCCAACTTTTATTCCATGTTTGCCGCAGTTTTCCTTTCGCTGTGCTCCGGGTTGCTGGCTAATGGAGACTTTCACAAAATATTTTTGGCTGTTTTTACTTTTTTGCCATTTCACTATCTGGCTACATTTTTCACACCCTCTCATTATCCCCGTGGGTTACAAATTTGACAAGCCATTCATTCAGAATTATGCAAACACATACTAAAATGATTTTGCATTAATGACATAGTGACTCACTTTATTCTTCGAATTCTAAAGAAATGTATTTGTGCTCACATGAGAATTGTGAGTAGTGGTGCCATCTTAAGACCCACCTATATTTCCCTATATGAGAAAAAGCTATATGAGTTTTTGTTTATACAAGATGTAGTAATTCCTACCTTTTTTTCATTTAACAAGCAAGTTTTCACGCTTATGAGCCAGACATTGCCAAAATTCTTCTTTTCTCACATCTTCTCTAATGAGGAATTTACTTTTGATTTTGATTCCATTTGAACTTTTTTAGAATAAAAGTCTTACGTGCGCTAGAGGGGACCTGCAGTGCTATTTTTTATATTTTGGGGTTAGAAAGAATCAGAACTGACGACTGCATTTCAAACCGCACTGAAAGTAAAAGGGTCACAGTAATGTGTAAAACCTCCAATTTCCATCACAAAATAGATAAAGGTTTCAGGTACGGTATGTGCGTGATCGTACTGCTGTCATTGTCTGCGTTGCAGAACAAGGCAACAAGATTTCTGGTGATGTGAACCAGCCCAATTACATTGTAAACAAGTAGGCTCGTGAATACATCTCTTATATTCCAATAGAAATATTACTCTTGACTTTGAGACGGGTTTGCTGACAAATACTAATTGTTAACTCTGTAATATATGCTGTACCACTTACTTGCTTGTACATCACATTACATTAGTCCTTACAGTGACTAGTGAGTGGGAAGGGCTTAAAGTTAAGTTCTCACAAACTCTTGTTCTGGCTCTTGGTGAGACCAGTGGTTTGTGATAACATGGCAACCACAGTACAGTACCACACGGTACTTTCACGATTTCACGATTTTGAGCATAATTCAGAATTTGTCAAATTTTGCAATACCATCAATTCATTTATTTTGTTACCAAGAGTTTATAACCGATCTGAGAAACTGGGACTGTAGTTCTCCTTTAAATGCATATAGTACAGGAGAGTACGTAATGTTTATGTATTTGTAACGACATAACAGCTGTACTGTACCATAAATGAGTTTTATTGTTTTCCTACCTATTGTTTATACATCATCATATGACATTAAGGATATTCAAATAATTTACCAGGAATATTGTTATTGTTTGCATTTTTAGGTGCTGTATTAAGGTGAAGTTTTGGTGTTTTAGGGAGCAATTTGTGAGTTCTGGAACCATTTGAACATTATAATATGGGAAGTAATGTGAATTTAATTTCCATTATGCAAGTGTTCACCTTACAAGCAGTTTTTGAGGACCAAATTCATCTTGGAAAACAAGATTACTGTATTACGTTTCAAGTATTTATTGTTGCAGAAGTATATCTTAGAATATTGTTTACATTCAGGCAAATATGAACAATTGATACTAATATTTGCAGCTGACAGCATTAACAGTGCTTGTTCTAGGCACACAATCTAAATGTTGGCGTTGCTGTAATAATTGTGTTAGTGTACCATTGCAAGGATCTGACACATATTATATGGCCCAAATGTGCTCTGTGGGGAGTCCAGAAAACTAGAAGACCTTGGTATAATAGTAATGTCCTAAATATTTTTCCATCTCTACATTGCTGGGACTTTCTAAACTGTATTGCCTTCTTCCATAAAATACTCTAATAGATCCAATAATTTCAAGTGGTACTTCTCATTAAGTGCAATTACAGTAAGATGCATTTTAGTTTATTATTGCACTATAAATGCTACCATACATATTTCAAGATATACTTGAAGACAATAGTACTATAGCGGAAGTATTTCCTAGTGTACTGTAAATGTGGGCAGGACATATTCTAGCAGAAGTGGAGAAAATTCATAGGGGTATGTCAACAAGCAGTGTCATTGGATGTTTATATACACTTAATTCATTTCTGGTACTTAAAGATAAAACACTGCACAAATAAGAACAGATTTTTAACTTGTTGGCTTAGTATAGGGACAATTACAAGTGCATGCTCAGGCTCTCCTTTTACATTAATATAATACCATCTGATTAAGTGTAAATGCACTTTTCCAGTGTAATATATGTATATTTAAGAATCTAAGAAAATGTATTTTTATAAAACATATACAGGATATAGAAATCTTTATTTCCCAGTTCTGCAATTTAAATGTCACTCCATATTTTTCATTGGTATTTTGATACATTCCCACCTCTTCGTAATAATTCTTAACATTCTTCGATGTACTCGAATATTTTTTTCAGAACAGGGGAATGAAGTTAAATTTGTGCAGGCTTGTGGTTTGTGGGAAGGTGGACCTGACCTTTTGACCTTTAGCAGTCACTGGGTATCTGTCAGAGAAGAGCCCTCTAGCCCTAGCCTTTATTTCAGTCAGCAGGCTTACAGAGGTCCCAGGCTCCTTGCCTGGCCTTTTGTCCAAATTAAGCTCATTTTTTTTTTCTTCTTCTTTTCTTTTTCCTAAATATCTGTGGCCTTCCCGTCTAAACGGCTGTCAGTTACCCTGTGGGGGCCCCTTTTCAAAGCAGACTCCAATGCCCGATCACCCCTCTCTTCTCTACCAGATCACACAGGGCCTGCTCTGCCTGCATGCCACTGGCTCACAATTAGGCTCAATGTGAGAGAGAGAAGGACAGTGAGTTCACGGCCACAACTCAGCATGCCAGAGCAGCAAGCCTGATTGCTGACGCTGCTGGCTGAAATAAGCAGACCCAGCTGCGTCTTGGCTTCACGAAACTTTCTTCCAACATGTAGGCCCACATCTTCTGTATTTCTGATCTTCACTGTTTTGTAGAGTGCAGTGCCTGTAAGATAGATAGACAGTACTTGGAGTTTGATATACAGCATGCGCATCTCAAGGTATGTGTGGTACACCTCCATGGTACTGTATATTTGTTCAGCCTTTTCTTAAAGTGACTCTTAACATTTCGCAACAAACAGTGTATGTGTGGAGAAGGTCAATTTTGCCATTTTGGGAAACTTGAATGTGTTTTAGATATTTCGAAAGGAAAACAAATTACACCTTCGAGCAAGAAAACGTGCTCTGTCCATGAGCCCCTTTTCTGTCAGTTTTTAATTGCTAGTTTTTTCACAAAATCAAGAAATTCGGCTTCAGTTAGAAGTTAATTGATCTGAGAGTTAATCTCATCCAGCCCTTTCTTGAAAGAAACCAGGGTATCGGCTTGAACAACATGTCTGGGCAGCTTGTTCCATACTCCCTCAACCCCTTTGCCATAGACATGCAGTATTCGAAATAACGTTTGGATATTTTGTTGAATAATTGTAACTCTGAAATTATTTTTTTAGAAAGTAAAGCTGGTATGGGACACTATCTCTCACAGCGCATTTATTGTCCCAAAAGAATTTGCATTTATACTGAGACCGGAAAGTGCCTGGAGCCTGTAGCTCTCTGTATTAGGTAGAATGTATCACACTTTTGACGGTTTTCATCTTAAAATATAATACCATTATTTTTCATTGGTGTGATTTTTTTTAAGATTCAGTATATTTATTCTCACTCCTATGAAGTATTCTATAAAATAGATACAGTGTATCTTTTCTGTGAATGCTTGTGACTCTCGTTTGAAGAAATGAAATATAATTTGTCTAATCTTTTAGTGACCAGCAAAAGCAATAAAGTGCTAGAACTAAAAAGAAACAAATAAAGGCTTCACAGATTTTTAATAGATTTTGCTTGATTGTCTAGTGTAACAGTCATTAGACCCTGCATTTACATTTAGAAAATAAGAGAAACATGTTATAGTGTAGTACTGTTATTGTGTTTAAGTAAGAGAAGCAGTAATTCTTAAATTTGTAAAGTAAAATATCTTAAATGGAGGTTCTTTTGATAATTCGTTATTTTCTTTCAGGTTGAATTTTTAATAATATCAAACAAATCTATTTGGTTTCAATTATTATTAACACTTTGTCTTAAATTAGGATAGCACCCTATATTGTCATACATTTCCAGCTGACCAACAGGTTAACCGTTCTATTTTAAATTAACAAGCTTTTATTCCTGTTTTTTTTTTATCTTGCTGTCCACTGTATTCACATCATGTTAATTACACTATTTGTAATATTGGTTGAAATTGTTCTCATCCTAAAGGTTCAACCTTAAAATAAATAGATCACAGCATAAAACACTGCATTTTATTTCTGCGATTCATGATCTTTTAGCCCACAGTATGAGTAGAAATGTAAAGTTTTAAGCTGTTGTATGTACAAACATCTTTCAACACATTACAGACATCACCACACCAATCTCTTTTTGAATGAATTGTAATTCCCATAGATTGCTTACATTGGGAGAGAAGCCTGAAAAGATGCAATTTCATGTGCCAGCGCTAAATAGAATATACACTGTATCTTACTGTCTTCCAAGAATAAAACAGTAGAACTTTGGAGACCTTTCAGTGTATGTGCTGAAAGTTCACAGCAGCCATGTGATACAGTGGTGTAATTCACTTTTCTTTGGACGAAAGAAAGACAAACACTCTGGTTTAAGCCCCCAGGTGAAATGAGTTTGAAGGTCGTTAGACGAGCAGCCAGTCTTGAAGCACAAGGAGACCACATCTCCTTCTCTTTTAGAGGTGATTCAGCCAGGTTGAGGCAATTTGACGGGGGAACGGCGGAGACACTCACGTATTCCCTGCTGCGCTTATATTGCGGGGAGATAAAAGGTTTTGCCAGCTTCCAGTCCACAGCCTTTCATGAGCGTTACAAAAAAAATCAAAAGGGAGAAAAAAAAAATCCAGAAAGGTTATTTTGACATGCATAAGGTATGAGAGAGGCAGAGACGGTATACCAGTGCGGAGGCAGGCTGATGTTTTTTGTCTTTTTTTTTTTTTCCCTCCTTGAGGGCAAGCTGCCTTCTCCAGCCTCCTCCCAATGGGGATTACGTCTAGCATTTTGCTGTTACCGTGGCAACAGCGGGGTGCATTCTCCCGCGCCCCTGCTGAGGTGAGGAACTGGCCCCCACATTGGTGCCCAGTTACCACAGCAACGTCAACATGCAAAGGGGGGACTCGAGGGTAAAATCCTAGCGCCCCCCCTGTCCCTCCCCTTCTCTCGTGCAGCTCCTTTAGACTTCATTGTGTTCGCTGGCCCTGGGTGACAGCACCAGAGAAAAAGGCGGCCCTCATTAACTCACCAGTGGGATTTTCCTTAATCGTTTACATGCAGTAATTAAGCAAGGCGGCAGGGAAGTGGCTTTTGCTAATTTGCGGGAGTAAATCAAGGCTGTGTTTTGTTGCTCTCCTTTGTGGTGAACACCAGCTCGCTAATTAGTCATTGATGATGCTTGCCTTGTTTACTGAAACAGCCAAAGACAAAAGGGGGCCAGCGGCCTCTTAACCAAGCACCCCACAGCACAGCACATTCCAACAGACCACACAAACAGTCTCCTGGCGGGGGGGATGCCCTCTTCCCTCGCTAAAAGACATCGAAGAGAGAGTAAGGGCAACCTCTAGCCTCTTGAATCGGAGTTTCAGCAGGGCTCTTCAGAGGCCAAAGTGAACCGAAAGCTGATTTAACTCGCGCTTTTAATCTAAAAAGGAAATATTTCCTCTTAATGTACTTTGCTGCCATTTTATTGAGCTTTTTTCCCCTCTGTTTGTGTATGACGGGTGGTATCTTAATGATATCTGCATAGCCAAAAACTTGAAGGGACTTCCAGCACACCGGATTCATTCCTTAATATCATTTCATGGAGCTCTGTTGACAGACCCAGCTGTTGCTGCTAAACGTATGGGAGATAAAAGAGGTTATTGAATCAGACCGGCATATAAACCCACCCAACTGCTTTCTACAAGCTGAAATTGATTTTTTTTTTTTTGAGGGGGAACGGAAGCTTCTGAAACCATTTTCCATACTAACAAACCCTGAGATCAGTCTCTCACGCCATCCCCAGGTCACGGGAAAGTTGAAAGACGAATCTTTTAAATTCAAGGCAATTTTGAATTGTCAAGAAATCACAGTGCTCCTAAAGCAGAGAGTGTGATAATACTCTGAAAGCTAAATTTGTAATCCAAGGTCTTGTAATTGTTATATGAATATCAACCGTCAAGCCAAGCTAGAACTGTCAGAAACTACATTTTTGAAGGGCTGGCTCCCTTAAGACTCTTTTTGCCTGCCACTTTTTTTAGTTTGCACTAAAAACTGTTTATTTAAAATACAATGTAGTATTTGATACAAAGCAGTTGACAATTACTGTACATCAGCACACAAGTTCAGCATATTACTTTTTTCTGAGTTATTCAATTGAGTAGAAATTAAGTTTGTTCATTCAAAGTAGAGCAATGAGTCTGTTGAATTTAAGGGAAGTTGGGTTCACCAGAATGTCAATGAAATTCATGTCCTTTTAATAGCAATTATAGCACTACCACTACATTTTTAATCTTTATGTTTTATCATTCATTTTAAGGAAATGTATTTGAAAATGTTTTAATACTTCATGAAACAATTTTAGTTCACTTATTAGGTTTACTATTTTAACAATATTTGTTAGTTGTTTGGTGTTTTATTAATCTGTGTTTTTGTACTTCATACTGTATTTTTTTTGTACATTTAGTCATTTGATACTGACTAAAAATCTGGTCCTACAAGACCAAGTGGAAGAAATAAGGACTCTGATACTGCAAAGATGTAACAAAATTATTTGAGAAATTGAATTATTTTTGTGTTTTAAACATCAGGGTTTGATTTAGTCATACCAAGTACTTGGAAAAAAAAACTCTTTCTTAAACAATAAAAGTGATTTCTGTATTACTTTGAATGACAAAAGTAAAGTACATTAGCCAAGCAAAGCCAAATGCTCCTTAGGTTTTGTGGAAATCTCTGTCCTTTCTCCTTTTAAAACACGCTATGATGTTTAAGTACTGCACACAAAGTTTGTCATATCAAATCTTTGTATTTTATATTTAGTCTTCACTCTTGTACTTTATATAATCTCACCCTATGGCATTTTCTGCAGGTACAGATATGAATGTTGCAGACTGTCATTGGATGTAGAATATTAGTTTCTTATTAGTTTTTTAATGTTATGAAAGTAGTTATTATAGATATAATGCTAGACCTAGTGACAATATATTACATGAAAACAAAGCTTCTTTTCTGACTTTGCTGGTACAAGAAATGTCCTCTAGTAATTTCTATGTTTATTAGCTAACAAATAAGGTTAATAACTCATTCATAGGATGCCTCTGAAAGGTTGTGTGGTTGAATGTGAAATGTAGTGACATTTAGGAAACCCTGTTTAAAATTTTACTTCAGAGAATGTGAGAAATGGAACTTTTGAACCTTCGAAACGCTGCAAAAAGGGACTAAATCTAAATGAATGACACTCAGATAAGAAGTCTGAAGTGTGAAGATGTTCATAACAAGCCATTGTAAAGGATTCATAACGTATTAATTGAATGTGGAGAAAGGTTTATTTAGTCTGGGCTTGTGATTGCTTGGGGATGTAAAACTCATTTCTAACTGCGCAAGTGACATAAATCAAAAATAAAATACAGCAATCAAGTATCAGACACAGCAGTGCTTTTTGTACTGCAGGAAGAACATGGTCTTGTGATAAATTTGCACAGCACTGGATCTGCTCTGAATGGTTTTGCCGTTGTTTCTGTGGCCCTGCGCTGTGCTGACTCATGCTCTGTCTGGATGGGCTGGCTGTGCTCATGTGCCTGTGGATCCAGACAGCAGGCCCTGTGGGGATGTCTGTCTCGCAGATACTGAGGCAGACCCCCGCCAAACAGCTCACTGTCTTATTCACAAACAAAATGCCGTCCATCAGGCGTTCACAGCAATATGGACAGCGTGCGGATAAAAATCGATGACCCCCGCTTGAATTTCTTCCTCATTGACTTTCCAAATTAAGGAGTTTCACCTCCGTTTCTTCACATTTTATTTCCAAGACAGCTTTTCCTTCCATTGCATTTTATATCGAGTGGCACCCAATAATAAAGTGTTTCCCAGAGTGTAACATAAAACAGCTATACCTTTCTGCTTTTTATTTTATTTGAATGAAGTAGGCAGATATTTTTGAAACATTAAAGCTAAAAGCAGTGACCTCATTGGTTTATTTCAGATTTGCTCTACACAAAATTCTGTAAGAGAATTTACAGTACAGGCTTTTGGGAGTGATGGAGTCATAACGCTACAGGCTGTGTTGCCAATGTTATATTCGCATATAAGTAAGATTTCTGATTTCTGTTCGGCACAGGAAATGGGGGTCCCCTCCATCTAGCATGTAGAGGAGGCATAGCACAGGGAATCAAATTATTATCCTCAGAAAATGTAGGGAAGATCTGAAATTCTGACAGTCCATGTTCTGCAAAGGAAACACAAGCCATAGTAAGGATCTGAAGCCCATAGCAGCAGTGACTTCAATTTTGACAGTATGTAGGTGTTATCAAGCACCTGTATAAATGTATTTAGACACACCTGAAGAAGGCTCCACGGCCGAAACGTTGTGTTCTCTTTCTTCTTTTTTTTCAGCATGGAATAAACCTATTACTTGTATTTAGACTAAGTTTGCTTTGTGCTAATCAATCAATCTCCCTTTCATTTCAAATGAATGTAAAATGTAAAACAACATGCAAACGTTAACACAGAGGGCTTTTACCCTGTTGACTGCAGCATATTAAGTCATCTTACTGTATGTCTCTTCAAACAGGCTTAAAAGAATATTCATTTTGTTCGTACTGTAACATTTCCAGATGTAATCTCTTTGTCAAACATGAATGTGTTCATTGCTATTGCTATATTTCCGCACCTTTAATTTCTGTTCATGACAAATTAAAGTGACCATTGCAGCTTGTGTGCTTCTGCTAGATTCGCTGTGTAGTCATAATTTATGTTGTGAATTGACGATAAAATCAAATGTGTGAAATGCCACAGGCTCCCAGCAATCCCACTATTAAGGATTTACTGCAACAGCTTATAAAGACAGGCAATCAGTCAAGGTAAAGGAAATGATTATAGTTTCATATCTCCTTATATTTCCCCCAGGAAGCTCCAAGCTTGTTATCTGGCGTATTGGTTCTGAAAGTGTGTTGCGTTATCTCCCCAGAGGGCCGATGGCCATGGTGTACCTCAGGCCACCCGGGTCCGAGACACCTCACGCTGGGTGTTCCTCACCCTGGTGGGGGTGGCCTGCGTGGGTGGGATCCTCATTGCGGCGCTCACCATTGCCTGCCTGAGACACCACTCCCGCCAGCTCAACGCAGGCAAGCTGGGGCTTGGACCAGAAGGGGGGAGCGACACCCACTTCGAATATCAGGTACCTAGCACTCGGGTTCAACGCCAGACAGCTCAGATTGATCTCCAGCTGCCACTCACAGACTCCAAATGGAGTTTATTTAACTCAAGTTCGGGAGGGATGGCAACAACCATGCTCAATCATCCCCAGCTGTCAGCAACTAGCAATCACTCCCTTCGTCATTCCCCCCACCGAATGCTATAAATACCAAATGCGATCTCTCTCCCTCGCGTGTGACTTTTGCAGCCCACCTCCATCCCAACTCCACCTCTGCAGCTGCCCCTTGGTAACCTTGCGTGGGGGGGGTCCTGGCCTCCTCGTCTTACGGCCAGGAGATCGGCCCTCAGCCAAGCGGGTTAAGCCAAATATTCCCTCCACAATAGTTCGCCACGCTTTGATTTTGGGGCGTTGTCATTCCTCGTGAATTTAATATTCTCCCAAGATAAAGCAGCTATGAAGAGCCAAGAGAAAAGGCACTCTTCCATTTCCAGTGGGTGTTGAGTACCTCTTACTTCCTACTGTCGCAGCAAACTGTGACCTTTATCAATGAGTGTGATTCATGTTAAAAATCTAATGAGGTTTGCGTGTAACTGATAAATACCATTGCTCATACTGCTCCTGTGATTAATTTTGAATGCCTCCCTTCTTTTCTGTAATAAATTTGTCTGCTCAGAAGATGCGTAAAGTGAACTTTCGGCATACTGCCAACTTATTGACAGAGGGTAATAAAAAGAATCCACACAGCTTTTTTTCCCAGCTTCTGCAGAGCTGTTTCTCTTGTACACCTCACCTGCAGTGAGCTTGGAGAAGCCTTTTCAAAGGCTGAGCTTGCGTTATTTAGGGCGGTGAATGATAAAAGACATTCACAAAGAACTTGTAAAATCGACCCTAAAACAAAGAATGAATCATTAGGAGTGCAGATTAAATGTTGTGCTGTTAAATTCGGTTTAAATTTAATCATGAAACATGAAATTAACACACAAAGGGCTGTTACCATTTCTGTGCTTTTGTGGAACAATGACTTGATATTGTTTTTTTACAAGACACTCATTCCAATGTGTTATTCAGACCCATTTGATGGTTGTTAAGAAGAAATTTAACACCCATTTCTTTTATTGCTTATGAACTGACTTTTTTTATTATAGAGAGTGTGTTCTATGTGAATTTTGTGACTTTATTGCAGTAAAAACCACTTCTGATCATACTCAGAAGGGACCAGAATGCAGTTAATTGGTGTTGCAACTAGAACAGGCAAGGCAAGCTTGCTATTCCATGAAAACCCTGAAGATGCAAAAATAAGTAACACTCAATGAGTGAGATGTGCAAATTTCATATCATTGATGTTTTTAATCGACCAGTTGACCTGTTCAAATTTATTTATTATATGTGCTATAGAATTAGATCTGAAACTATTTTCTTGTTTCAAAGGATATATTTGATGGAACAATTATTTATAATAATAATAATAAAAAACTTTATTTTATATAGCGCCTTTAAAGGTGGCTTCTCAAAGCGCTTTACAGGATGACAACAACAATAAATAAGAAGAATACACAAAATAAAACACAATTACAATATATAGAGGAGACCGTGGATTATTATTTATGCAAATGATAATCAAGAGAAGCAGTACAATCACACAGAATTAGTGTCAGATGGTATAATGCAAGGATCCATGTAAATGTAATATATACAACACCATACTCTTATATGACATAAAGCTGTAACCATTTAAACAAGTTTTTTTAGCAACAGATAAAGTATTCAATGCAATAAACTTATAATAATATAAAGGTCCTATATTAATGTCTATAACTCTAGACTGTTCAGTACATTTCTCATAAGAAGCATCACTGGTAATTGTACATTGTTAGGTGTAATAAATTAGCAAATATCCTGGTTTCAGATGCGAAGTGTTTAAACTTCTATCTGCAACTGCATATAGCAATTTTAATAACCATTGAACTGAATCTACTCAATATTGCAAATTTAAAAGAGTTGTTTTTTAGTGGAGGCATTTGACTTTTTTTTTAGCATAGTAGTATACTGTTCCCATAAAAATCAAATTGTATAATATCTTCTGGATTTGAAAACTTTTACAGAATTAAGAGTTTTATCAATCCCCAGCTCAAGGATTAGATGTGCTAAAAGTAGAAACTTTGACTGTCCTGTGTTACCGCATGTAATTTCACAGTTCTGTGTTTCTTTGAATGTAATGCATTGTGGAGCATCATGGTGCATTATTTTATCCTGTATTTTGGCAGTAAGGAAACAGTAAGATGAGACAACAGCAGTAAATAGCATTAGAAAGGGAATAAACAGGAGCCTATGCTGTGAAAAAAATCATTTTGGGTTTTCAGTTATGAAGATTCCATGTCATCCTATCTCATGATAAGTTTAGAGAAAAACAAGATCCATTAGCTAATGGAAAGAACAAAAATGTATAGACTTTAAAAAAAATGTGAAGCACTGTTCTGAAGAGGAAGAAATGTGGAAATCCATCTGCTCACCATGTTGGGTACAATAGCTTCCTCTGTATGGTCTCTACAGCCACAGTGGTTTACCTTCTTGGCATTAAATATAGAACACTGTAACCACACATTTGTATGGTACATTTATGAGGGCCTGCGCTTTTATGAACACGAGATTAGAAGTGAAGAAACGTACATTTTGTAGTACTTATGCTGCACAATGCTGGCATTTATAGTGTGGGGAAGTCATACATTTTTAATTTTTAAAAAAATAATTTTTAGGTTAATTTTGGGTAAATTGTGAATGTGAGCTTCATTGACAGAGAATTCTGACAAGGCAAATAGAACTCTTGAGTTAAATACCACAGGGGAGGGACTACATTACAGCAGCAAGTGAACAGTCAATATTTGTTTTTCTGCAGTTGTTTAATTTTGTACTCTGCTTCTTACAATAACAATAGCGTTTCTACATTCTGTTACTGGTAGGGGTATTACAAAGCGTTATGTCATTTTATAGTTATTGAAACAACACTCTTCAATTAAGTTTTTGCCTCGTTATTTATCTGCAACAATATACTGTCATCCTGTCTAGACGGATCAGTTCTCATCCTGTAGAGCGCGGATATCCGTCCCTCTCTGACTCTCACTCCTCTGTCCTCCTCTGTGTGGGCCTCCCAGGAGCTGTGTCGGCAGCACATGGCTGCCAAGGCCTCCTTCAGCCGCCAGGAGGCAGGGGGCACGGACACGTCGCGGGTCAGCAGCGTGTCCTCGCAGTTCAGCGACGCCCCTCAGGCCAGTCCCAGCTCCCACAGCAGCACTCCCTCGTGGTGTGAGGAACCCGCTCAGTCCAACATGGACATCTCCACTGGACACATGATACTGGTGAGGCTCTCTGACCTGCTTCCCTCAGCCTGTCCCCTTCTCATCATTCATCCATCATGACCTGGATAGCCACAGGCTTTTCAGAGCTCCCAAACAGCGCGAAGGTTGGTTAAACAGTCAGCTCGTTGATACATTTATGGTGTTTAGTTATTGCGAGAGAGCTCAAAAATAAACAATTGGATTGACACAGTTTCTCCTCCTTGGAAATGTGGCAGTTACGCTGGGTTAACAAAGATTTACGGTTACTTTTAATATGGAAGCTGTAAAATGTGACCTGTCTTGAAGTCTTCTGCAATGATTCGCCTTAGGCTCCGATAACGTACAATAAACGTGCAAATAAATAAATCTCACCATTCTCAGGAAAACTAGAAGAAGCATTTTCCTGTGGAGTTTTAAATGTTTTATAGTTCATGCTTTCTTTGGAGTTTCACTACTCTCTTTAAATAATGTGGGATTGCTTTCAATAAAAAAAAAATCATATTCATATTCTTGAGAAGTGTAACTAAAAGTTGAGTTAGTAGAGAAAATGCAGGTGTACCTCAAGATTTTTCAATGTTTATTATTAAGAATGTGCTAGCCATGCTTAATACAATAGTAAAGGGCCTTTAACACAGAAGAAAAACACTCAGCACCAGCATATTTTTGACCTCAGCAATTCAGCTGCAAAAAATAAGACAGTCCAGCCTGACCAAGATGTTTAAGGCTTAGGGAAAGGATGCTTCTCCACCTGGAAGAGAATGTAAGAAAGTTTTATACAAATGGATGGTGTCTGGTGAAGATACATTGGGAGGATAGTTTACACTCTGGGGCAAAAACTCAGTAGCTTCCAAAACCTCACTTCCATTCAGGATTCAAGTCATAAATATGGGGTCTGTGGCACAATTCTATGGCAACAAGGAAAAGACAGGAATGTACCAATCAAAGTCAAAGACAATTTCACAAATGTGAATTGTTGAATTCTGAATGAATTTGATCATCATTTTTTAACCAAGTTGCTGGCATGTTTCTTTTTTTTGCAGACAATAAATTCTTAAAACTCTTTAGTTTTGTTCCTGTTAAAAAAACCTGAATGTACAGACAGACGTTAATGCTAAATTAACTTTCATTTACAGTATTGAAGGTATGAATACATTTGGAGAGCACATTTTCTGTGGTCCAATTAACAGACTTTTTTAATTTTTAAAGTCTTAATTAATTTTTAGTGGTAGGAGAATTATATATCACAGATATGTAATTACATCTGATCAGTATAACCATGTAAAGATTTTAGCTTTGATTTTAAGCCACTCTATAAAAAAGGCCATACTTTCAAAACTAAAGTCAACATTTGTTGATACTCTACTGCATATAAATATAGCCTGCCCTTTTTAGCTGCATTAAACTGATTTTACAGAAAAAATCAAAAGATTTGGTTATACACAAAATGCTTTTCCTACATTTATTTCATGCAAATTAGTTTTGATATGCTTTGGAGATAAGAAAACCGTGCTTGTTTTTTAGGGTTACAATACTTTTTTTTCTTATTTCTTTTTTCATTATCCACATATTAAATCTGTATTATCAGATCCATTCCTTTATTATCTACCTACACCTCACCACCTTCTTTATGATTTATTTGATATTGAAATTCAATTAGTTTGATTTATACCTTGCAAAAGTATTCACTTCAGATGTCCAATTTTGCCATTTTGTTGAAAACAAATTATATATTCATATTTTTTAACTTAATGTTTCAATGAAAAGTTGAATGGTTGAACTGAATACTTTTATGAATAAAATACTATGTGTAATTTGCTAGCAAAACCTGCAACAAAAAAATAAGAAATGAATATATGTTGGTTCCATACATGTTTGCCACAAAACCTGGTCGAAGCTCCTTAGGCAGAAATTAATAGTCTGTACCAATTTTGCACTCTGGGATGGTACATTTTTTCCCATTCTTCCAGATGAGAGCAGCCAAATACATTGTAGGATTTAAGGGAATGCTTCCACTGATAAGTGGAAGATACAGAACCTTTTTGAAACAGAGAAGACTATGAGGGGATCAGATACAAGTAACCAAATGCTCAAAGATATTGACAGAATCAGTCCAATGGATATCTTCAGAATGACCAGTATAACGAGACCCACAGGACATAGGAGTGCTTTTTCATGCAGAAGCACTTCTTTACCCAGGGGGTTGAGAGACTATGGAACAAGCTACCCAGCCATGTTTGCTGAAGCAGATACTCTGGATTCTTTCAAGAAACAGCAGAATCCTTGAATCAGTTACTGACTGTCTATCTGGGCTACCATCTGGGCTAGATTGGCCAAATAATCTCCTCTCACTTCTTACTATTTTTATGTTCTTTGCAAGCTTGCTTGATCTCTGCCATGTTGTCTGAGGATAAACTGATGGGCAGCAATTTTCAAGTCCTATCACAGATTTTCTATTGGATTCACAACCAGGACTGGGCCACTCAAGGACATTCACTCTCTTCTTGTTACGCCACTCCCAGGAAGCTTCGGAAATATTTTTGCAATTTGTTGTCCTACTGAAAGGTGAATTGTTGTCCCAGGTGTATGTCTCTAGCAGACTGTAACATGTTTGCCTCCAAAATTTGCCTGTGCCTTTCATCCATTTGTCCCTAGGTCTTAATAAACTTCCAGGATCCTGCTTATGATAAGATGTCCCATAAGTCAGTGCTCCTGTCACCATAATTTAAGTAAGGATGGTACTAAGTATGTTATACTGGACATTGTTTTAATGCTGGATTTGCAGCAGATGTAACGCTTTCTATTCAAACCAAAAACGTTAAATTTTTCCTCCTCTGACCACAAAAACCTTTTGCCACATTTTTGTGGTATCACTTAAATAGTTTGAAATTCCATTTGGGATTTGAGAGGTTTGTCACTCTGCCATACAGGCCAGATATATGGAGTGGCCAGGATATTGCTGATTCATGAACAAGTTCTCCAATCTAAGCTATTGTACACAGAAGCTCATTCAAAGTCGCCATTGACCTCATGGCGGAATCCTTAACTAGTTTCCCAGCTGCCCAGTTTGCCTGATTGTCACGTTCGTAACCCCTCCTCTTAAGGACGCTCCAGCCCTTCCTTGTTTTCTACTCATCCCCCATACCTGCTCCCTGTTCCAGCCCCCTTTTCAGTTCTCCTTAAAACCCAGGCGCTCACTCTATTCTGGGCTCTGCATTAATTTCCGTACCAGGCGAGTCCGGGACCTGGAAGTGCCTCGTCCCGTCAAGCTTTTAAAGTTCCTGTTCCTGCCGGTTCCGACCCGGTTCCCATTTTTATTTTGTTCGTCTTGGATGGACCGCCTGGTTTTGGATTTTCGCCTTCTCTTGGACTCCCCCTTGGACTTATTCCTGGATTGTTTGCCTCGGCCACACCTCCCCCGAACACCAGCGCACCATGGACACGCCCCCTGTTTTCATTCCCGACTCACGCATGCTTTTTCCCCGTGTTTTCCTCACTCCTCCCAGGATCATGTCGTCTGCATAGGGTCCTGAAAGAATGCTTCCGTTACACTGATGTACTGTAGGTAGTGTCTGGGTAGTTCTGATACTCCTTCTCTTTCGCAATGAATAACTTTGCTCTGCTCAAAACAATATTCAGATCTGTGAATTTCTTTTTCTCCTGGACTGGATTGTTTTGAAACCTCCTTAGACTTCCTGGAGGAATCTTTGCTTGAAACTCACTACCTGACTAAAGGACCTTACAGAAAAAGTTATTTTTTTTCTGAAATCATGTAAACCATATACAGAGGGAGCAAAAACTTTTGGAATCAATATATTTTAGTTTTTAACTCTTCTTTGCAGTTTCTGCAGACATTTGATTTTTATCTGTAAAAGTACTCAGGTTTGCTTTAAAAATATTTACTAAATGTGTTGTCTTCATTTGTAATTGAACAAAATGGAGCATCATTGGAAGAGAGTGAATACTTTTTTCAGGGCTCTGTATTTGATTGATTTTATGTTTCTCTTATTGATCTTTGAATTAAATTGAGCAATCATGTTAGTCAAATTAAATGTGGCGGTAGTGTGCTTCACTGAGCTGAAACAAAAAGGTCAGTTTAGGTGAATAGTGCTTAAGGTTCTGGTGGTCAGTCTATCCACATGAAAACTTTAAACATCCATGGGTCAGGTTGTGTTTTAAATTTAAAGCTGGGGAGTTGGTAAGGCTTTGAGTTGGAGGAAATTTCAAAATAAAAATAGGGTTAGGTAATATAGATGTCTGGACTGGGATTATGTGTACAGATGTGTGCATTCCACAAAACACAGACATCCCCAGAGAGTTCGGATATGGAAACAAGCTTGGTAAAATGCAGTAAATATTTTTCAGACTGTAACCTTGTTTGCCTCCACAGGCTTACATGGAGGATCACCTGAAGAACAAGGATAGGCTGTTGAAGGAGTGGGAGGCTCTGTGTTCCTACCAGGCTGAGCCCAGCTCCTGCTCTGCGGCCCAAAGTGAAGCCAACCTTAAAAAGAATAGAAACCCGGATTCTGTGCCCTGTGAGTTTCATAGAAGGACGACCGTAGCTGATCAAAGCAATGTTCGATAAAACCAATCAAGTTCTCTGTGTTAGCAAAGGTCAGCAAAGGCAACATATCTTTCCTGTGATGGACAGTTATTGCTCTGGCCTGCAGGATTTGTAAATACTTTCCCTTGTATGCTTGATTGTCTATAACATCTTGAGATGTTTACAGACATTGTAAACATGCAATAATAAGCAAGAAAAGCCTGGACAGAAAGAAGGGGGAAAACAGTATTTTGAAAATCATATAATTTTAAAAATATCCTGGAATACAATTTGTTCATAAGCAGTAAAAGTGTGCCTGACTCATATCAGCATTTTGACAAAGCTGATTTCTATTCTTTTGCCTCAAGAACTACTGTTTTTAAATTGACCAAAAAAATGTACTGCCTGATCACAGAATGAATCAAAATGAGTCCAAGAAATAGAACGGCAGAATCTTGGCATGACAATTAATCTCTGAGATACTCCTTGAATACATAATCACACATGTGACTAATCAGTATTTGGTGAAACTAGATACTGATGCTTGTGCAGTGTGCATTTGGGATCATTATAATTACAGTATGTAGCACTAGTACTTAAATACACTATAGTGTTATATTAGGAACAGTAAACTGTAAAAGTTTGTATTTCTTGTACAAAGTGTATATTTCCCACACATCTGAGAAAAATTAAGCTTGAGAAATGCATTTTGTTGAATAAGATCCTTTTAGTGAGAGATCAGTAATCTTAATTGCATATTATTAAACAAGACCCCTCTGTCCAACCTAAAAAACTTCAGAATTTCTTCCCTGAACTGAAAGTCATAATGTTGTATGTACTTCAGTGGGGATCAGGACAACGGGAGAATAGCTATAAAGATAGAGGTAAAGTAGATATTAAACCAGGTATGGCAAGGATTTATTAAGAACTACTTCAACTATAAACATGAGCATTTTCAATATTTTCTTTAAGACAGGTATTTGAAGAAGACATGATGAGAGTAGTAAATCATGATCCTTTACCGTGTTCTTTTTGTGTTCTTAGATGACCACTCTCGAGTGAAACTGAAAGCAGAGATTAACCCTTCCAGGACAGACTACATCAACGCCAGCACTATAGTAAGGACATTTTGCTTTTTAATGGGCTAGACAAATAATAACAGCCGACACTTTGTGTGTCTTTTCAGCAATCGTGATCCTTTACGATTACTTTGCAAGTAATGAGCACGCCCTTTGGAGGACACAAAAATATATGCTTTTTAACATTCCAAAAACCGCAACAGAAACAACATTTTCCACTTTGATTTTAACCACAGCTGTATTTATTATGACCCCAGATTGATCACGATCCAAGGATGCCAGCTTACATTGCTACCCAGGGGCCTCTGTCTCACACTATCGCTGACTTTTGGCAAGTAAGTCCCTTTCTGATTGAACATTTATAAGATCTATTCTGAGCCATGAGAACTAAGTTCTGAACCTTAACTCAAGAAACAATTCTTAACAAGGTGCAATTACGTCATAAGATACCAGTACAACTTGTAAAGTATGTGTTGCTGCTGAGGAAATCGTGATAAAGCTCACTGTGAGGTGTAGAACTGACTGTTCATATACATGAGCTTGTTAAAATAAATATATTGAAAGAAAAAACCTGGACGGGATAACATTGAATAGTGGGTGTGCTTATTTACAATAAAGAACAAGGTTTTGCACCCTGGACGATTCTCTACCTCTTTGCCTACATTGTGAGTCTCGATGTCTCAGGTTTTCTGTACTCTAATTAATTTCTTCTCTTTGTGGAGCTCATTTGTAATGACTTACATACAAAATGTAATGACTCATTTGTAATGATTTACATACAAAATTAAAACTCCTGGGTATGGAGGGACACCAAGTATATTGAAAGCAAAACTTCCACACAAATGTGGCTCATTCTTTTCTAGCATAATTACAGTCATGTATACAAATACTATAAAAGCCCTGGTTGTATATAATCAAGGCTAGCAAGGCTGCAAAAAGAGACTTTTTTTAACTGAATTTGAAAGTGGGTGATTGCTGAGGCAGTTTGGCAGAAGCTTCAGGCACCAAGACAACTCAACTTGTTGATGTTTCTCAAGCAACTGTGTCAAAGGTGACGTCAGCATGCAAATCCAAGGGAAAATTTGCTTTTCATACAGTCAGGGCCGATTAAGACTAGTGATGTTACTGACAATCCGTATGATCAGTATTTATGTTGAAGGAAGGTACAGTATAATTCAGCTGTTGGCCAGAAGAAGAATGCAAACTAAGCAGCTTCAAAAAAAATCATGCCAGGAGAAATCCAAGAAGAGAAGACTGATACTGCATAAGCCACAAATGTACTTGTTAATTACTATATACTGTATAAGGAATGAAGAACCTTGGACACTAGGAGTTCAGTAACTGCTCATTTAGTTCACCTAGGAGTACTAAAGTTGCACAAGTAGTAACAAGTAATAAACCTTTGCATCTGTGTATTTCGGGGTCATTACCTGAGCTCTGCAACTTGCTAAATTAAATAAGTCATATAGGTTTTAAATCAGGACAAACTTTAATATTTAAATGGGATAGGAGGTAGAAATGATAGTATACTTATTCAGTGTTACAGAACAGTAATCTAGCATCTGCTTATAGAAACAGTGGTTAATTCAAATCTCACCTAATCAAGTTACTCTTTCCAGACACTTTCCTGGAAACCTCTGTTTGCAGACACTATTTCTCTAAAGATCTGTTTCAATCGGTCTACTCCTTTGTGACACCCACGTATGTGGGCTAGGGTATGTGTGATAAGATAGTCCGTAGTGTGTGATGCAGTAATGTACATTATAGATGGTGTGGGAGAATGGCTGCACTGTGATTGTGATGATGACTGCTCTGGTCGAAGATGGGGAGAAGCAGTGTGACCGATACTGGCCGGATGAAGGATCCTCACTCTATCATATTTATGAGGTGAGAGACAATGCAGTTATGTCATGTTATTCATTTTTGTTCCCTCTGTTTTTTTCCCAGTTTAATAGAGACTCTGCATATAATATTCCTCTTCAACTTTCAATATATAATTGGTTGATTCTGACTTTGAATGTGAATGTGAATAAAAACTGTTAATTTCAATGAATAACAGCATGTAGCTCACATATAGGTTTATATTTTTTCATCCTTCATAGCAGTCCTACAATAGTCCTCGTTCATAAAGAAAATACATCATGCTTTAGATATTTTAGATTGACTTTGTTATATTTATATGTCTATTTTTAATCACCACAATCACCACAAGGAAGGAGCGCAGGCAAACAGCAGTCACAGGAATAATAAATTACTAAGATTGTGTTCATTTGTGCTCCCTTTATATAATGCTAGTTTGAATGTCAAAGCTTCCAACTCAATTGGTTTTTATAATTGAATTATGTGCTGTATTATTTTACTTCATTTTGTCAATTCCCCACTCACTGTCTCCAGACTGTTAAATGAATTAATCTTTAAAGGAGTAATGCATGGTTAAAAAGGATTGCTGAAGTTCGTGTAGAAGACGAGACAAACAAATCACATTGCCTTTTTATGTCCAAATGACTGATTTTTTAAAGATATGTATAGTCAAAAAAGTGCTTTTCACTTCAATACCTTTAAATAATATGTATTTTTAGTATTTTCAGAAAGTATTATGGGATGTTGTTGTCATCTCTCTTACTTTAAACTATTTATTTTTAAGTCTATACATTCAGCATGAGCTGCCCGCCAGTTCTTTTATTCTACATGAATTCTTTGCACAGTATATATTATATCAGACATGAGCCGAATGGCCTTCTGTATGGGCTGCATTACGTGTTCTGATAACCTGATCTGTCTCTGTGCTTGGTGCAGGTCAACCTGGTTTCGGAGCACATCTGGTGCAATGATTTCCTGGTGCGGAGCTTCTACCTGAAGAATGTGCAGTCCCAGGAGACTCGAACCCTGACCCAGTTCCACTTCCTGAGCTGGCCGGCCCAGGGCATCCCCACCTCCACCCGAACCCTGCTGGACTTCCGCAGGTACACGTTACTTACATACAAGCGTGCACATGTACGATGCTCTCATATTGAAAACCAGAGCAGCATTAAAGGCAGATTACATTTGTCTCAGCAACGTGTCCATCCGTCCACAACTCAATCCATTTTTCTAAACACTTGATCCTATGCAGGATTGCAGAGGGAGCAGGAGCCTATCCTGGCATGCAACAGGCGCAAGGCAGGATACCCCTTATACAGGACACCAGTCCATCACAGGGAACACACAGACGCAAACATGCACACACTCACGCCAGGGCCAGTTTTCCCAGAAGACATTTAACCTACCAGTCTAAATTTTGACTGTGGGAGGAATCTGGTATCTAGTATCACTGATTTATTTAGTCTGCTCTATATTGTAAAGAAAATAATTTGAAATGCCTAATTATGTATAAAATGATAATAAAATTAAGCAATGTCCAATGTGACTCTTAGACATTTTGTAATGTGGGTAATGCTGGCTTCTTGCTTTAAGCCAGTTCAGATGTGGCAGATCTGATATGCAAATTACTCATTATCGTAATACAAATAATTATCAACATTTGGGTCACCAGCATTGGTGAAAATGGATGTTGCTGAAAAGGGGTAACAGAGAAAAGGGAGGTGAAGTCCTAAACGCAGGAAAATCAAAATTAAAATCAATGGAAAAAAGCTTTTTTACTTGATGACGACGCCTTAAAGCAATGCTTTGCACTTCTCGGCTTTTCTTCTCCATCTTTCAAGTGGGTAGTTTAAAAGGGTGCCAGCTAAATGTTTTGGACACATGACTCTTGAAAATACTTGCTTGTGGGTTTCGCATATTTGAAACACAGCTGCTTCTGCGAACTGTTCCTCTGAGTACAAATCTTCAAAATGTTCACGGACTCAGTACCCAATATCATGCTAAAATGTAGATGTTAAGATGTAGAATTCCTAGCTTTGAGATTTGCCATTTGCTGGGAGTAAAGATTATGGCAGGACTATACAGCATATGCACATTTTTAGTTCAAAGAGGGGGCTCCAACACTCCTGCTGATCTCTGTGCTAAACCTTCAACCATCTTCTCTCCTTCATCCGTACAAGCTCAGACCAGCCTGCTTCTTTTCCTCCACTCACCTTGAATAGTTGGCCACCCACTCCTCACATCTCCACCACAGAAGCCTGCCTTCCTGTCCTCCGCCTTTACCACTGTCTCAGCCTTCCCTTCTGCCTGCCCCACGCTGCCTTCCCAGTTTAACCAGTGGGAAGGCTGGCTTGCCCTTTCTCCGATGGGCGTCACCTGGGCACCGTCGGATGCACAGCTGCCTGTGTCATTTTTGTGATTTGCAGCTAGTAGTCTGAGTCCAGTTGCATAGTCACAAAAGTGATCATTGGCAGCTGTGGCTGCTGCATGGAGCACCTGTGGACTTTTCTCCTGGTTACTGTTTGCACCTCCTTCGCCCCTTCCTCCCAGCCTCCTGTGGGTCATCTGCTTTCCTCTCTTGATAAAGCCTTTTGCTTTACTCAGGACCTGAGCCTCGGTTCCTCCCTCTCCTCCGTTTCCGACACTTTCATTCACCCTTCCTCCGAAAATGTCAATGAGAACTAGGCAAAAAACGAAGAACGAACCGAGATTGAGAAGAGGGTAGCTGAGCTTGAAATTAAGTCGGTTTGCAGTACTGTATTGTTGTCCTCAGTTCCCGATTGGATGTCTGTGTCATAGAAGGTGAATTGCGTTTTGGTTCTAGAATCGTGGGATCCTATTTATTACCGCTGCACTGTGGGGAAAAGGACTAGTAACGTTTTGTGTCTAATTTCGCATCTTGACATGTTTTTAAGCTTGTACACTTACAATTTTCACGTTCAATTTGCCAGCTCATGCACACCTGCAGATTCAGTGCCAGACCTTTTTTCTCCAGGTCTGCTCACTGTCTGATATCACAGACACCTCAGCGCAGACGTCTTTCTCTCAACCTTAATATGTTGAGAGGGATAATAGGTTGCTCAAATATTGCTCAGCTTCAGGTGGGTTTCGCACAGGCAGCATCCTGTAGGATAAAATCCTGAGCTGTGTGGCACCTCTTTACTATTAAAGGGCTGGACTTTTAAGCTTCAAGTTTAAAAGCTTGTCATGATGTGAAGAATGAAATGCAAATTTACAGGCATGCTGCTAAACAACATGGGGGGGATGGAAAGCACTGTTTCTACTAGTCTCAAGCTCTTACAGTGTCATTCCTTATTGTAATAATTCCTAATATAACACCTTTAAATAATGGTTAGATTCTAAAGCTTGCATCAGCATGTAAGATATAAATGTTTGCAAGTTAATTCCATGCTAAAAAGTTAATTGAAGGGAAAAAAGTGTTTCTTTGTTTTTAATTCTCACCCTGGAAGTAATTTCTACTTTTAATAAAGTGGACTAATGGTCAGTAGTCACTGACATTTATGGCTAGAGGTGATCAACATCATCGCTTGTTGTGAGAATGTGATTAAAATGAAAATGTAGTGTTAAGATATGTATGTGGCAACCCTGCAATATTTACATAGAACATTGGTCAAGAAGTGATCCTTATTTTAAAGTGCCGGCATCTTATTTGTTTTACTGTTTTAAGTTTTGCCCAGAAGGCAAAAAAAAACAGTGGAGAAAATACCCTAGTTCAAGTATGAATACAAAAGTCATCCTAGTTTATTATACCATGATTAAAGAAAGACTCAGATTAAAATAGAAATTGCACGAAACGATACAGGAGGCCGATTGAGATGTGTGTACACACACAATTTTTGCATTAGAATGGAATCTTTTCTCACAAAGATAGACGTGTGTCTGATCTGCGCTTGCTACAACTTAAACTGCAGGCAGATTTAAAGTTTTTTGTTGTTGTTGTTTCAGGAAAGTGAACAAGTGCTACAGAGGCCGATCCTGCCCTATAATTGTCCACTGCAGGTGAGGTTTCCCATGCAAAATATCATATCTACTATACGTTTTGGTTTTGGAATTCATTAAGAGTGTTAATTCCATACTTTTACAAGTTACTTTTAGTCTAGTAAACAACTTCACACCTTTATTCCTATATGTGCAACATATTGAGACTTCTTTTAAGGTTCCATAAATAAGGCTTGGATAGCATATGTATGGCAGTGGAGTGACTCGGTCCTATTAAGAATATCATCATTTATTTTAGAGTGCTGGGACCACAAGCCTCAAGACCCCAGACTCTTTCTCGTCATCTTCGTTCTTGGGTCATCCTCTTGCGCCCCCTGCTGTTTACTGTGGGAAGTCATAGACCCTTTTGTGTTCAACTGAGTACCTCGTTCACCGAGAAGCACACTATTTTAGTGACAGTCATAAAACGAAGATAACAGTTTGTTTCATGAAAGTATATCTAAAATTAAAACAATTTAATTTCATTCTTAAGCACCAGTTAAAATGTATTTGATCTAAAAGAAGGCTTCTCAAATGTCCTGAATTTGTTTTATAGTGGATATATTGTTCTGTAGTGGATACATTAATTCTGCTTGCCATAATTAGATTAAATCCCTGGTATCTCATAATCGAAGGTCATTACTTTGTCATCAACAAAATAATACGCAATAAAGCACTATCTCTATTGTCAGATCTATTTCCTATTACTGGATTATTTCATGTTTTTTCTTGTAATAATTTTAATAAATTCAGCTTCATGTGGTATTTTACCTTTTCTTTTATTATTATGTGCCCAGATATTGGACTTTTTATGTTACACATGAATGTAAATTTTGAACCTGCTTCTGCATAAATTTAAAACAATTAATAGCAAATATTTTGTATTATTAAGAATTTCTTACACTTATAGTGACACTCCACTCAAAGCGCTTTACAGGTAATGGGAACTCCCCTCCACCACCACCAATGTGCAGCCCCACCTGGATGATGTGACAGCAGCCATAGTGTGCCAGTACACTCACCACAAACTAGCTATCAGTGGGGAGGAGAACAGAGTGATGAAGCCAGTTCATAGATGGGGATAATTAGGAGGCCATGATTGGTAAGGGCCAATGAGGAATTTGGCCAGGACACTGGGGTTACACCCCTTTAAACAGCATTCTTTTTGCTTGCCAACTCCTCTGATCCCTTCCTCCAAAAAAACAGTGGTTTTCCACCATTGTAGTATAAACACCATGTAGCCACACTCTGCTTGTAGTTCTAAACTGTATTGCTGTTCACCCATATTTTGCCAAAGCCACAAATGCATTACGTAAATGTGTATCAGTTTTGGGTTTTTTTAACGTGTAAAGCGTTTGTACTCCTTGGATTAATATATCAGGTTGAATTGGGTTTTGGTTTAGCTAGAAGACAGGAAGTACAGTGAACTGTGTTTCCTTTGCCCTTAGTGATGGTACCGGGAGATCTGGGACATACATTCTGATTGACATGGTGCTCAACCGAATGGCAAAAGGTGAGATGACTGTTTCATGGATATATTGTGTAATTTGGTACTGCTTCCAAAATTAAGTTAATATTTCATCTGTATTTCCTGATGTACTGCTTTAATTTACGCTATAAATAGCCAAATCATGTGGGGTTTGGCAGTGGTGAATACATACAGTCTACTGTAGATGATCTATATACAATATTCTATATTCCACAAATCTGTTTGGGTAATAATAACTTCTAGCAAGCTAATATAAGCAAATTCTATCATACTAGCTCCATAAATTACATTAATATGAATACCTTTGCAGTGCCTCATGTAAACTTGTTAGGGTTAGGATGAAACTGTATGTTATCTGTGACAAAGAAGCATGCAAGGAAGAAATTGAGAAAATCCATATCTGATCATCTAATACTATTTTTTCTCGGAGTTGTTCATTTGTATTTTTTATAGGCAATAGGGTAGTGATAGGGTAATGGAAATATCTAGATGTGTATCTATTCAGTAATTCAACACACTAGATACAGTGCCTTGCAAAGACATTCACTCCCTTTTGTGACAAGATAAACAACATTGTTATCCATCAATTACCTCAACTTGACAGAGCTTGAAGACGTTTTGCAAAGCAGAATGGGTGAAAATTGCATGACACTATCCCTGTTTTGCAAGGCTGGTACAGACTTGTCGAAAAAATGCTAGCAGCTGTAATTGCTGTCGAAGGTGCTTCCACCACATTTTGATTTGGGCTGGAGGACATGATAAAGTGTTTTGATTCTTGCAGGTTTGGGGTTTTTGCTGATGTTTAACTTCCTTTACCCATAAAGGCATATTTAGTTTGAACATCCAGGTTTTGATTTAAATTTCCACTCTTAATTTTGTACTTGAACAAAACGGGACGACAGGATGAATGGTTATGAATACTCTTTCAAGGCACTGTAAATAAATCTGTTTATTTAGCTGTGATAGTTGTTTCTGTAATCTCTTAACTCGAAAGTGCCATGTTGTAATTCTTAAAAATGATAGTATCTATCTTAACTGCTAAAAGATTAAGAAATCACATACTGTTTTACTCCAGGTGGTTACATTTCCTAGCAAATACCCAGACGTTATAAAGAGCCAAGTTCAGAGTTCATAAGAATGAAAAAAATAAGAATCTGTCACTAATTGATGTAATATTTTTCTTGAAAGGAGTCAACTGCAAAGTCATGACAGTATAGCCTTTTCCTCACTCCAACAAACCTTTTTTTAAAGGGTCTGTAGAAAAGAAGTCATTAAATAGAGACCAGACAATGGGGGGTAGAGAAATGTCCCTAAAGAGAGCACCACTGCCACAAATATAGGACAAGTAAGGCTTTACAAGATAAAAGTCACAGAAATCTGTGTTGTTTTTTCAACGTCAAAGCTTGGGCTCTTCAGTTAACTCTCCTGCTCTTGCAAAAAGTTTTTTGGGGTATCTTCAGTATGGAGTACTACATATACATATATACTACATATATAAACTACATATATAAACAGTAAAAAGTTGTGCCAAGCATGTTATTACTCCATGGGAAGTGCCATAGTAAGTGGCAAGAGTTCTAGTTCATGTTGTGGTTCAAGTAAAAAACCCATATAATATCTTTAGCAGCAGCCTTTCAGAATTGTATTTGCTGTGTGTTTTATTCAGAATGTCAGCTGATGTATTTTACGCAGTATTTTTACAAAACAGTGTAATACAATTACTTAAACTGTAAATTAACTATCAGTCCCCTTGAATCACGTCATCCAAGAAACAGATGCTTTGCGAATGTATGAGTACTTAAGGTTGGTCTTAACCTGCTTGGTTAAGAGGTAGCCTCCTGGCCACAGGACAAAGAAGCTGACCCCCCATTCAGAGACCGAAGTTAGCCAAGCGGCAGCTGTAAAGGTGGAGATGGGATGGAGGCAAGATGAATGAGAAGAGGCATGTGAGAGTTTTATATACAGTATATAGTGAAACTCATTAATGACTGGGATTAAGAACAGCTGAGTAAGATTGGCTAATCTGTTTTGATCCCTCCTGAACTTCAGTGAAGAATTTCCATTTGTCTATCCGATTAAGTAAAGGCAGCATACTGTGTATTAGAATACGTATAATCTCTAGACTTACGAATCATCTTAACATCCACTACAGAAAACAGCACGCCCTCATTCTCTTGAAGTTCGACAGGGGAGTTTATAATGAGCAGACTTAAATTTGGATGCCCGTGCAACCTTGTCTTAACACAATGTCTTCCCCTTTTCAGAAATGCTGGTTAGATTGTTTTTACCACATTAACGTTGCTGAGATGCTTGCATTTTAGTTTTTACACTCAGAAAATGAATGGCAACTAACATCAAGGCCTGCGCACACTACACAAAAAGACTGATTGAGATGAGGGAATGGGAGGTCAGGGTTTAAACCTAAGAATGTATTTCTGAATGTCGTATTCCAGCCTGAGAGACAAGGTCTTTAGTAACTTATATACAGTATGTGTTAGTCGGTTATAGCCTTAGAAGAATGAATAGAAATAAGGCAATCTTTGCAGGGCTCTTTAGGGAATAAGGTCTCGTATTATTATTAATGTTTGTCACCTCTTACATTGTTATTAGTTGAATCTTATGGCTCTACAGCCGTTCTCCAGGGATTTGCAGGTTTTCAAGGCTTTTCCTGGAGTGCCAGTAGATTAGAAGACCTGAATAATAAAGATGACAGACAAGAGACTTTTGCAAGACACATATCTGCTGCTTATGTGCAATACAATTGACACTAACCTTGGGGATCTGTATGTCAGCATGAGAATAAAATGACATTTATCAAGGAAAACGACAACCTTATTTCCATGGCCATCAAAAAATTAATAACTCTTTCACTATGGGATGGAGGTTTAAACTTTGTAACAGACTTTTGTTTTCCCACACACAAACTTTCTTGCTGTCTATGGTGTGATGACAGTGCTTCCAAACACAAGCATTGAGAATCACTATGAAGTACAGAAAAGGGGTTCTCTTGTCATTGCCACTGAGAAATCCATGAATTGTTTTTTTTTTACAGATTGTTTTCATGTTGCTGCACATTTCTCATAGTTTAAATGAATTACAGTTTTTGCATGTTGGATACTTTTTGGTTTCTGCACAGTTAGAAACACTGTGTACAGCCTTGATTAAGTTGCTACATACAGTAACTGCTTAACCTCACCTTGAACAGCAGGCAGCAACAGTCAGTAATGTTTGTCAGAGATGGACTGGACATTGAAGACACTGAAATGGTCATCCAAGGTCAAACCCTACACAGGCAGCAAACTGGTGTAATGTGGGATGGCTGTGTTTTCACAATAATTAGAGCAAGCAGAATCCATAGGAGATCACACAAGCAAGACACCCTGAATAATCCAGAATAAGCATGTGTTGCTGCCAACGCCAACATTTTCTGAAGTCTGTCTGATTTTGTTTTAAGTCAACTTCTGCTGTAGCCTGGAGTCTTGGGAAATCCCAAAGGGCAAACCTCTCAGAAATATTTTCAAAGATGAGTTCTGGATAGTTTCAGGCAAACGTTATAATCACTCTGTGCAATTTCTGAACAGGTATTTTGGCACATTAAATTTAACTATAAATAAAGACAATATATATGTTTGTTACAGAATTCAAATGAAGCATGACTACTTGTCACATTCCAAATTCTTGTCACTGCCAAGTTGATTTAACCCACTTCTGAGCCATACTCATGAGCAGAAATTGTCAGATGGATACCCAAAACATGATAATCCAAGTCAGATTGCAGGTAATTCTCTGAGCCCTTGGCCAGTTTTACTGAACCCTTCCAACTGTTATTAAGTACAGATGTATTAGCTGGCTTCTTTCTTATGAATGAAAGATGAAATCAGTCTGTCTGGAGTACTGCTTCTTGAACACCTCTTAAAGGTCTGAGATGTTCCAAATTAGAGGGAGCTTTTAGTTAGTTCATCTTGCATCTTTGTGTGCCAGTAGTTTCTGGAGCTCGTGATCTCGCTCGGCAGTTTCTAGCTTTAATTATGATGCTTCACTAAGGAAAAAACATTTTTTTTTTGCTTTTAAGGTTTTATCTCAATGTTAATTTTGTCTCGTGCACAGGTGTGAAGGAGATTGACATTGCAGCGACACTGGAACATATTCGAGATCAAAGACCAGGCATGGTGCGCACCAAGGTAGGTGGATTACCCTCTTGTTCCATTTGCCTTCACAGGTTTACCACTGATACTTTGCAACCTTGCATTGATGAAATATTTGATATGAGGGTATTTCAATAAGAAAAGACATAATTGGCTGCAGTGCCAGTGCTTGTTTTATTTCATGGTCACATTACATTTAATCACCTTGTATAGACAAACACCTTGTACAGAGTTTCCATTTCCTTCAGTTAAATAACCTGTTGTAGCCACAACAGTCCACGTTCCGTCACAGCTTCATTCCAATTGAAAAGAAAATATCATAATCAATAACCCCACTGAACTTTCAGACTTTCTTTGTTACTGGTTCATTTGGATGCTTCCATTTCTAACTTCATTGTTTGCTCCATAATTTGTATTTGTAGTGTCATCACGAAGGACAGAAATGTACCGCTGTTAATGTGAAACTTAATGAACAAGTTAGTACCTATCCCCAGTATGGATTCTTAACAGTACTTAATAAGCATTCACAGAACTTATCCACCATTGTTCCTAATGATTTTAAATTCTAAATCTATTTTAAATCTTGAGGAAACCTCCTTCAATAGAAATTACATTGAACTTAAGAAAGAGTTCCACAAGACTCATGAGTTAGTCACTTCGTAAAAACACCCTCATAAAAACACAGTTTTACTCGAAAGGATTCAGATGTGCATCAAAAGAAAGCTCAAGGTTCAGAATGAAACCTACAGTAAGTCCCTTACACATATTTATGGGGAACTACAGTTGTTGTCATCAATACTAAAGGGAACGGATTTTGACAATTTGTTCAGAATGAAGAGCACAGGGTACTTTATTCTGTGGCAGGTAGGTACTGTGAACAAGATGATCTGCAGCACCCATGAGAAATCACCTCCTCTCTGCCATTTCTCTCTACAGGACCAGTTTGAGTTTGCTCTGACGGCTGTTGCTGAGGAGGTGAACGCCATTCTGAAGGCCCTCCCACAGTGAGCCATGGGCCACCATGACATCTCTACTATGGATGCCAGACACCTAACCAAACGTGACCCTCACCATGCCGATATTCCCTCTCCATGCTCCTACACACACATACACCCACGTCTGAGCGCCAGACAAAATCCATCACTCATTCACTGAAGAGAAACTGAATTTCAAGGTGGAAATGTTGACTGATCTCATAACCTCAGTTGAATTCCTGGAGGTTATCCTTCCCACACATCATTTCGGCATTGTCACCACTTTCCCATCTTCCTGGTTTCCATCTGTGTACCAGCTTTCCATTCTGAGGCAGTAATTCTCAAACTTTACTGTACATGAGCATCTTCTATGATGTTAGAATTGAGTGGAATGTAAGTGGAATACAAAAGTATCAGGAATTGTTCTTAAAGGGAGGGAAGGTAAATTTCTGAAACGTGTACATTTTTTACTTCATTTATCATTCACATTAACATCATTAACCCAAAATGCCATTAAGGTGGTACAGGAATTCTGCTCTCACTGAGTACAGTAGAAAACACAAATATTCTTTGTTGTTCAATGTCCAATTTAAAACATTTCAAAGTACTCCCAGTCCCGTGCCTTCAACTGATGTGATTTTATTTATAATATTGTTTTGTTACATTGACTACCTGTGGGTATAAATAACTTCTTTTGTATCACATATCACCATGCTTTATCTGTTCATGTTAGTTAAATCGGCATTGTCAGGGGAGTAAGGTATTTGACACATTTTGTCATTTCTGAAATCGTCATGTTCTGCAGTTCAAAGTTTCAAAAGTAAAATCGCAACCAGCAGGCTTACGTAAAAAAAAAAAAACACCCTGAGTATTCCTCTTATCTGTGGTTAAAAACAGCTTTGAACTGCAGGCTCATCCAAGAAACTTCCAACGCCAGACTCCAGTTATTACATTTTATCTTCAGGGTTACTTGGTAAGTGGTCTCAGCACAGAAGTGATATAATCTCCTCTGAAACCTAAACAGTATAAAACTCCGGATAGGGTTAAGGTTAGATCATATCATTTTCACTGACTTTATTTAGACAGTTTTACACTGATTAAATTTCAGAGGAGGTGATGCCACCTGGGCCGAGACCAATTATACCAAGCAGCCCTGAAGATAAAATAATGAGTTTTCAACAATTTTTCATTATCTTTACCGGATCTTACCATTCTTACTTCTACAGTCGTTTTTAACCTTCCGTGTTGTAGGGGGTGTTCATGTTTCAGAAAACGAGTCCTTCTGATCAGATGAGACTTTTAACATATGTATATATTTAGATACACATGCTCCTACTGTTCAATATGAATAGAGCTGGAACGTGCTACACTGGATGAGCGTACATTATAAAGAGGAGTGACAGCAAATGTACCTAAAAATCCTGGTTATCTGACTTTTTCTCCTGCTTATCAAATTCTGAGGTTTTTTTTTTCCAATTAGAGGGGGATTTCAAAGGAGAACTAAATGAGACATCTTCACTCATCATTGTAATGGTACCGAGCAAGAACTCTATCCATAACCACCAAAGTCACAGTTACCATGATTACTTCAGATGGGAAGTCCTTTGTTTGCACTGGGCAATTATGTTAACATATTTTCTTAATATGTATCTAACATTTCTGTTTGTCTGTAATCTTGTCTTTGTAAGAAATAATGCAAGTGAACTTGTCTGATATTTCTATTCAGATTATCTGGATCGCTTTAAAAATATCTAAACATCCCAGTATAAGAAAAGAGTTTTATGAATGCAAATCCCAGCTGTTGAAAGGTAAACATGATGTAGGAAACAGCACTGGTATAGAAAATGAGTCGCGTTAATTTCTTATTCTGAGATCAGAAGATTTATTTTTTATCAGGTTTTGCACTGGAGCAACGTAATATTTAAAAAAAAAAATAATGAGTACTAATCCTGATAGCATATACTGCTCCAGCTGTTGCAATTCTTGCCCATTAACTGGCTTACAGTGAAGAATAAAGGATTTTTTTCATACTAAATGGATGCTCAAGTTCCCTTTTTATGTTGATTCGTGGTTCAGGAGCTTCTATCCATATTCTAAATTGAAATCATTTATTATTTCCTCTTTATAATGATAGAAAAACACAAACTTTATGTATAATATGAACTTACTATAGTTAAACCACCTTGACAACACATTTTGCTTGCATTACATTACGAATTTATTCTATATGACTTACATCAGTGAGAAATCACTGTTATTCCTCATATTGCTACTAAATAGGGGATCAAAAACTGAGAGCTTAAGACTTACATTTCTTGCCCTACAGAGTACCCATTGGTACATATACAGCTGAACTGCATTCATGTACCAGTGTTGCAAAGAAGACTGAGCTGGGTTAATACAGTGGCTGTCCTACTTGTCTCTTGCAATTTCACACCCTACTAATGTGTCTTGAAAAAAAGAGAGCATCTTTTTTTCTGTGTTATTATTATGATTGTTGTTAAAATATTCTAGTATGGGCTGTTTCCCTGTAGCAATCAAGTAGAAAAAAAATATATAAAAAATCTATTTTGTATCTTGATGTGAATAAAGTTTGTGGATTTGTGCAACTGCAGAAAGTGCTTCGGTGTTTTATTCTTCATACAATGCAAAAGATTTAACTGTACATAAAGAAAAGCCTCACAGTCATTCCTTTATTCTGCAAAGTTTCATTTTATGTGTCAATAGTGGCTGTCGAGAAATTTCTAAACAATTAGTGGCTGTTATTATGAGAGACCTCTAAAAAGTATCTGGTTGCTTTTGCAATTGGTGTCAACCACTATATGAACCACTATTTCCTCTGTGTTAGAATTGCATCTGTATGCGAAACCGTAGACACTGTGCTTTTAGGAGATGCTGTCCTTCAGATGAAACATTAAAATGAGGTCCTGATGTAGTAGCCTGACCTCATTCCAGAGTTTGCAAATGTAGGGGTGTTAACCCTGGTGTACTGGCTAAATTCCACTTTGGATTTGCACAGCCTGGCCTCTTAATTCAATACAAAAGTGTAGCCAAATTCTTATTAGTGGGATACAGAGAGGAAATGTAATGAAACATATTGAAAATTGGAAACGTACAGCCTGGCCACCTGAAGGAACGCTACCTGTGGGGCCGAGGCTAACAGGACTCTCTTTGTGGGGAATGAGCCAGGTAGAGGCTGAAAAAGAAAGGCATGGTGCAGAATTGGTTCCACGTGCAAATGGAGTGCTCACCAGGAAAGATATTTATGTGTAGGAGGGCGGAAGTGGGCGAGATGGGTTAGAAACAAGACTTTTTTTCGAAAACTCACAAGGGTTCACAAGGTCGTCTGGCGGTCAGCGGCTCTCTTTTCATTTCTGATGCAGGATATCTCGGAGGCTCCGTCTTCCTCACGGAAAGCAAAAGTTGACGGCCCACGGGCAAACCTCTGCTTCCCGGTTTTTAAAAGTCACCTGTCCACTTGTCTTCCACAGGTGGCGGAGGACAGCCGGTCATTCCCCTCGGCTTCCTGGGAAATGCAGTTCAAACCAGAACCGCCATCTTGTCTGAAACCACCGCTCTCGTCCAGCGTGTTGAGTATTTGTAGCAGAAATAGGGGTAGATGTGATAGATTTGCCAAATTGCCTGAGCCAGAGTTTCCAAAGACAAAAGTGAACGTGGGTGAAAATGACATGACACCTGTTGCCTATTAATTACCAAGAATGAATAGTTGGTCACAAAAGGGAGAGACAGGACTATAACTCACAGATAGCATGGGGTTCTTCATCTTTATTCAATCATAGGGATAGAATAGCAGGATTAACATCGCTCTAAATAGTATCCCCTTCAATCACCTTATGTATAATGTCAAGCTTACGAGACCTTAAAACTAAAAAAATGCAGGAGTGCCATCAAAGGTTGATGAGGTATTCTTCATGTCCTGAACTGCCTTCATTAGCTTAAAGAGGGCTGCAGGAGCCTCCAGTACAGTAGCTTACACAGGAAAAAGGCTTCAGAGACAGGAGAAGCCTAGTACACATTCCCTGATGAGATTGAATGTTTAAGCAGTATAATTTAGAACACAATAAATGCAAATGAATTGACAGAAGAGCTCAGGCTTGCACATACAGCTTATAATATAGTATAATTTAGAACACAAAATGTAGAGTTTTGAAACAGCAGAAGCAAGTTCAAGTAGCCAGAATGCGTAGACTGCAAAGGAACAGGTAAAGGTTTATTCCATGCTGAAAGGACAGAGACACGATGGTTCGGCTGTGCAGCCTTTTTCACGTCTTCTACACCTGAAGGCGGCGCCACAGCCGAACCATCGTGTCTCTATTCTTTTACTTTCAGCAATAAACCTTTACCTGTTCCAGAAACCAATAAAAAGGTCTATTTTTTTTATGGAGTCTCAAAGCCAGTGAATGACCAGATTGATTGTCATTACAATAACATTTCCAGCTACATCTACATACAAGAAATGGTGCGCGATACCCAAGCAGAACATTTTTCCAGCAAGACTGATTTTCAATATAGTAGCCTGAAAAAAGACTGTGACTCTGGAAAAGCAAATGCGGTCTCCAGTGCAGTAATTTTCCTTGGATATGATTTATGCAGTTTGGAGGGAAATGTACCAGAATATCTTAAATGAAGCATTTTACAGTCCTACAGAATACAGGAGCTGTTGACTGAACCGCAGCTGAAATCAAGAAACTCACGTTTAGCCTGAAGCTTGTTCCAAATCATCTCATTTTGTAGTGCCATGGCCAAGATGCGCCAGCTGGGGGCAGTTAGCTGTCCTCGGTTAAAATACATCTGCAGAAATTGGCATTGTGACATGGGAAATAAACATAGCTATATCTGGGAGTATGATCTATGTCTATCTACACGTGCTTCCAGCAGGGTTACACAACTCATCTGAGAAATTGCCCTCTATGCATTTCTTAACCTGATACACATATCATTAAGACTATTTTTGAACCTCAACAAAACATACTGGTGCCAACAGGTTATGTACATTATTAATAGTGCCAATACACTTCACAGCTAGTTCCAGTCACTGTAGTGCATTGTCAGCTACAATCAAGATCTAACTGTAGGTTAATAATGGGACTGTATTCAGTTGCTAGCCATGACAGCTCTGACTGCTGGCCTGTGGAGGGACTTTTCCTAATAAAGGCACATCTCGCGCTGTAGAAGCTGCTAAATGCAATCAGTATTTTGGCATTGACATACTGGATAGTTAGGTGAGGCTGACTAGCATACAGCAGCACAGTAATGGCACACAGAACGCCATGAAAACAGGACTGCGCACTCTTCCTCTATCACTCTTATTCACTGTCTTGAAAGACCTCAATCCATAGCAAAGACATTCTCCCACTATCACAGAATACATCTATCCCCTTCTAGACCACAGGCCTTAGATGGTTCTACATCTCTCTTCTCATACGAACAGGTGAATTGTGCTTCATCAAATAAAATATTTTGCCTCTGTTGCCATCAATGCCATCTCGGACTTTGGGTTAAAATGTATCAAAATGAGTTCTTTTGTAATTACAATCAATCGAGAGATTCTTTATAAAATGCTTTATTTGTTGGAATCTGAGATGAAATATTATACATGTAACAGAAAAAGCACTATATAAATCCAGTCTTTTTTTCCCTCTATATACACACAAACGCACAGTACAAACAGTTCAAATAAAACTTTGAAAACTCCGTTGTGTGCAGTCTTCTGGTCAAAGTGTCATCAGAACACTTGGTTACCCTCAAGCCACACCTGCAGGAACAAAAACATACAGACACACAGGCAAAGACATAAAGTGACCATGAGAACACTTTATGAAGCTTTAGCACGGAAATTCCACGTCACCACAGTTTTGTTTTACAATACCAAGCCAGAGGACTTGTAATAACAATCCGGAAGTGCATCTGAGAAGGGCAACTGAGAATAAGAAGCACATCTTTATGCAAAGGGTTGTGGGGGCATGGAACAAATTCCACCCATGGAACACCCTGTGCTGTGCTGATACGCTGACTTATTTTAAGAAACAACTGGTTGAGATCCTTGAATCTATTATCTACTAACTACCAAAGGGGCTAGATGGGCATTTTTCTGTTTGTCATTTGGAAATGTTCTTACATCCTTATGTTTCCTTTCTTGTGTTCTTGTAATCATCCTCCATAATTTTTCATTTTATTCTTGCTGCAATAGCCAAGACTACAATGGATTTGCCATAGCTAAGATTTCATAAAAGCTACGCAATATTTCAAAAAAACCAAACATTCGCGATTAAAATACAGTAAGCGTCTCATAGTATTATTGTGGTTTTGTGAACCAGTGACAGAATGGTGGTAAAAAGTAAGATCAAGACAAGAATTTGGGGAAACAATGGTAAAGGTAAAGGTGTGAATGGCCTGTGTATATTTGCCAGGTGAAAGAGTTATGCAGACCACAACTCGGAGACTGCATCAACATCCGACCCAACCCAAATGCTGCTTTTAATATGCTGCTGTGCTAGTTCAAACATTTTTAAACTGGCTTGTTTAGACAACCTAGGGCTGGCCAAGAGCTCATTTATATTGTGTGTGTAGACATCTACCACTCCGTGCTTTGTACAGGACATAATGGACCACCGTGTTTTTCACAATTCTGTGCCCGTCACCCATTCAGAGCATAGTCAATGAACCCAGCTAGCTCGGGTCAGGGCCATACAGAGCCATCAATAACTGGACACACAGCAGTTCCGTGCTCTAACCCATCCAGCTGAGAGGTCTGCAAAACTTCCATCCCAGGTCTGTGTACAGGTCTTTCATCAAAGACGCAGTGTGCAAAACAATCACTGCACTCAAAATTAAAAGATGCCAACGGTCCCAGAGGTGATAACACAAAAAGCAAAAGTGAAAAGTGATCTAGGCGACATCCATGGTGGGCAAGTGACATTCAGGTGTTCGAATGTTGCAAGTACACTCCGTGTTTACATATACAGCCTGTGTTTCATGGACAACTGGGTGAGGCAATTTGGAGCTAAAACCTTGTTTTCTCTTTTGTGGGAACACTAAAGTCTTGTATGTCTTGAGGATATGGTGCTTAAGAATGACTAATAACAAAAGTAATAAAAACAGCATTCCTAAATACTAAATCCTTAGCTGACCTGCTTAGTTAAATCAATTTGCCACCTGTGCCCAAAAAAGAAAATGACTGCAAGTGAGGGTACATTTGGCTTAATATCCGTTTGTGATCATTATTCGCAAATAATGAACAGACAGAAAAACTGTTCAGAATAAAAAAAAAGGCCTTTTCTCAAGGATAAAAGTACTCTTCACTGCTTGTTCTCACCTTTTGTAATTGCTGTGAAGAATAAAAGAGTCACTTTTGAAATCTTGGTTTACACTACTAAAGTTTTTTTTCTGGGTTGGTACTTTGCTGATGAAAAGCAATTTTAGGATATATTAATCCTCATTCAAGCACGTTTTAGGAGAAAATAATATTTTACTTTTATGCCACTGTGCTTTGTCCAAGCCTGTATTTATCTTGCCGCCGAGACCTGAGAAAATGTGTTTTGCTCATAAATAATGCCTCACAGTACTATCCCTGTTGTCTAGGGATGATTCGGCTAGGTAGAGATAGCTTTAAACAAGTAATTAATCACAAAATTGTTATTTTACATAAACTCATTTCAACTTTTACTCTTGAGTGTTTTTTTTTTTAGAAATACTACTTTTAATTACATTTTAGACAAGTACTTTTTTTCTCAAGCAACACAACTGAATTCCTTCTCCACCCCCCGAGTTCATTTTAAAATGCTGAGTGGAAATTACCTACAAACACCTGGACTGGTTTGTCAATAGCTGTGAGTTTTGATTGTCATCTTGTAATTGTCAGACTCCCCCAATAGTGAATCATTTCTGTCTAATTTTCACTCCCACTTCCAAATTTTGTTTCTGGAGGACATCTCTGGGGAACTACAGAGAGTAAGAATGACTACAAAATTGCTACAAATGATTCATGCAACAACCTGCTTAAGCTAAATTCTTATTTTACCTCAGTGGAAAGCTGTGTGGACTGTCAATCAGTGTAGGCATGGAAGTCAGGGTCTGAAAGAAGGAGGAAAAGTGAGACAGATAACAAAAAACCAGCAGGATGCGGCTTGACACGAGTTTACCGCGATTCGCTCAGGTAAACCTGAGCCGTCACTGAAACAAGGCGAAGCAATGTGGAAGCATGGGAAAAAAAAGGAATCAGAGGGAGACGCGGTAAATCTTAAAATGAAAGATCTGATCCGAACAGCTCTGTAGCAAGCAGGCTCTTCCTCTCTGACCAATTGATGCTATCCGTAACAGCTCTTTGACAATCCTCACAGGCTGCTCAAATACAAAACACAACCCTGACAGCGCATGTAAGCCCTCAGGTTACGACAGCGAACGTGGATAATTATGAGCGTATGGACACATGAAACTAAGCACTCTAAGCCAATACAGGTCATGGCAATAACTAGATCATATTACATTGATAACTGCAGTGGACACTATGATCACTGACTCCCTTTCCAGATTGGTCCTACTACTTCAAACTCTTCTGGCTTTACCATTCAAATATGATAAAAGAAAAGAAAATGCTTCTGCCAGGGACCATGTTCATCCTCCCCCAACTGTTCCTTTATTACTGCACAGACACATATGAAGCAATGGAGTTGAAATGACCAGTGACTCATGGGGATGAAAGTCAATCGGGAGACGATGAGTAAAAGTTGTGTTCCCATGCATGCATATGCTGTTCAAAATTCACCTGTTAGTCCTGAACAAGTCATCCATCTTACGTTGCCTGAAGTACAGCGCTGGACGATTTGTATTCCACAACATTCTGCGTACTCCATCTTAGTTGCCACGTATTCTTTATTGTAAGAGGTGCGTTACAACAGCGATTACAAATCCCGTTTTACAATTAACATCAGAAAATGCAAAGAAACGCGTTTTACATTTAAGTCACAAGCTTTTGAGGAAAAGCATTTCCAACACCTCCTCCTCTGAATTTCCTTGCTTATACTGTAGATTAGATTGCAAGAATACCGGCAGTGTTCAGCGCTCACGATTAACAATACAGTGCTTCAGCTGTCATCAGTGCAGATGCGGTGCTAGGACTCGGAATATTCAAGTATTCATTAAGACATCAAAGGTGAAAAGATCAGAGGTTTCCGTTTCATTCCCCTCATGCACGTACTTCCGACTGTTTCTGAAATCAATATGGCTGACATTTGCGCGACTGAAACCAAAACACGCTGGTTCACAACAACGTCGCTCGCTCTCCACTCTCTCAGATTGTTCAGCGCGGCGGCCGATTTCAAGAACAAGCGCATCTCATGAAGGCAATACCCACCGAGAGCAAAGTGTTTCTCTTTGTGGAGTGTTCAGGGAACTCAATGTCTCCCAACACAAACTTGTGCCATCAGTCCAAAAGGTCCAAATGTTTTGTTCCACACTGCAAAGTAAGGCTGACTGGGAAGTAGAAACTGAGGGTCTTCGTTTCTCAAATAGCAACTGTTGTGCCACAGACCACCAGCTTTACACTCCAATCTGTCGAACTGTCCCATAATAAGTTCAGTAATTAGTTTCCATTAACCAGAACTTGATGAGACATTCAGGCACCACAGCACTTTGGCAGCCGATACATTCCACATTCTGGTACTAAATGACTAAGGTAAACTGTCAAGATATTCTTCTCTCATGACTCCCTCAGCTGATGATAAAACAAGGAATCATCAGGCTTTTGCTCTGTTCTTCATTATGCACATATACAATTTTACACCTCTGAGGAAAAATAAGTTACTGATCATTTCAATATTGTTTTTTTTTTTTGCTTTCTTCAGCAAATGAACAGATATTTACCATTCTCATGTAAATTAATTTAACACACTGGACCTGAAGGACAGTCCAGCTGAATTGCTGCTTCTGAATTTTTTTTTACTCTTCAGTTTCCACCAAAGTAGCCATTAGTAGCCTTATTTTATTCTACAATGAAAAAAAAAACTCTTAAATGAGTTCATTTTTTTTCTTTTCTAAGTAGCCATCTACAGACAAAACGGGGACAGGTCTTTCGAGCAATTCGAATGAACATGCCTGTCGGAGGAAACGCTCGCTGTTCGAACTGTTCAGATTCCCAAAAACACACAAAGCTCAGAGAAAGTTTTCTCACTAACAAAGAGGTGAACACACAATGAAGCCACTTCAAAGGCTAGCAGCAGAACACAAGGAATCTGCTCTTGTGATGATTGTGGGGGAAAAAAACATCCTTCATATAGTAAGACTTAACTATAAAATGTATAACATTCTCCTTTTTAGCTGCATAACCAGTAATGTGCAATTGATTGTCACAAATTCAACTGTAAGTATGAGTAAATGCAAGTAACTGTTGGGTTACAGCATATCACATCCCCAGTAAGCTGAAGAAGGCAGGAAAAAACTCTGTATCCAGAGTAAAGTGCTTTTCAGTGACAGCCTACCTATCATTTGGTGAAGAGAAATGAACTCAGTCAGCTCTCTGAATGTATTTTAAAAATAGGACACTGAGTAACTTATGCATTAGAGCTCTTCCTCTGACTAATATACAAAAAACTGCTATGTAGCAGTTTAACATGTTTCACCTCCTCGCATGCTGACAGGGATTAATTGGACAAACGTTTAGGTGAAATTAAATTGCCAGAAGCATTACGAGTTATCATAATACAGTTTTGGCACCAGACACCTTATTGCCTAAAACCTTTAGACATTATCTACTTGTAATTGAGCTGAAGTCATGGGTGTAGGCTCCCAGCCTGTGTTGGAGCAAGAGAAGGTTTTTTCTAGCTACAAGCTTGTCCTTCTACACAATTTTCAGTCTTTCACCATGTTTTTCAATACACAATGAGTGCAAATTTAAATTTCCTCGACTTTGCTATTTAAATACAGACTTTAAATTCTCATTTGTTTCCCCCACCAAAAAACAACCTTGAACAAATAGCACGCATTTTGTTCATTTAAAACAAAAACAGTTCCTTCAGAGAACTATTGGGCCATGTTTATAATCAGGGTGAAAGTACCTTAGTATCCTTAATTAATTAGCAAGTGCAATGTTATTGCTTTGTTCTGAATTCCCCCAAGGAAACTGAATTTCTTCATTGAAAGCTTGAATGCATGTCAATGCTTTCAATATTTCAAATCAGAGCATTCTTAAATTCAAATTTTAACCGATAAAGTGTAAAAATACTCATTAAATTAATATTAAAAACAACACGTGAAAAACTAACATAAGTCATTTATGTGCATAGGATTTTCATAAATCATGGTTTTTATCAGCTTACAGAAGTGGTCTAATAGGTTTTCATATATAAAACCAAACAGCTGGGAAATGATCCATATAACCAACAATAACTGAGCTATGAATGAGTTTATTCTGAAGCCACTGTGTGATGATGTCATTAATCCCTGTGGCAACCCGAGAGGCAAACTACAGTAAAGTCATCGCTCTATATGACCTGAAAGACAGGGTGAAGAAAAAAAATGATGAACCCAATTGCACTAATCTTTCTCTCTCCAACTAACGAGGTATCCTGTAAGGAGCATCATATGTCTTGGCACCAGGAAAACCTTAAAAAACCCTCAGAACAACCTTATTACAAATGCATAGTATTTTGTGAATTCACATTATTCAGGGGTAAAACTGTCAAAACTGATTCATAAACTTTGTACACCATACGTACAGTATATGCATGTTTTCATGTACTTGCGGTGTGGGCTTAACGTCAAGTCAAAACAAGTAGAAAACCACATTATGTCTAGTTATGTTATATGGCACTAACCTCGGAAAAAATCTGCAAAATATATGCATGAAAAAACAACCCTTAATAAAAGAGAAACTCATCACAGCACTTCCTGTTTCAGAAATTATCTGCCACAGCACTGCACCTGACGTCAAGACATCCCTTTAAAGACGAACGTTAGTTAGCTTGCCCAGGTCTATGTTTGACCAAGGCACGTCTCGCCTTTGTCTCAACACACTAAACACTTCAATCGTTTCTTTTTGTCATTGGTTTCTGCTGCTGTCCCCTTCTCCTCTTCTTGCGGGCCCTGTGAGCTGCCTTCCTGGCGTGGGATCCTGGGAGTTCTGCTCTCCCCGGCCTTGGCTCCGCCCTGACTCTCCGCCTCCCGCCTCCTGCCGGAGGGAGTAGTCCTCTCTGCCCCTCCTCTCGGCTCCTCAGTGGCCCCGCCCCTCTGGCTCCCCCTGATAGGCCCTGACTTTTCTCCACCCCTTCGCACTTCCTTCCTGCCCCCCTGCCCTGCTGTGTGCACACCTGCTCTGTGCTTCCCATCCATCTCTGAGAGGCTATAGGCCAGGGCCATCTGCAGGTCTTCGTCTTCTTCGTCGGTGCTGTCCCGGTAGCTGAAAAACGGGTCAGAGCTGAAGGACCTCTGAGTTGGAGTCCCATGGCGGAGCCTGCTCTGATCCAGGAGAGACTGCTGTGGAGGAGTCTGCTGCTCGCGCCGGCTGAGCTCCAGGGCCAGGGCCATCTCATCCTCAACACCTGCAGAGACCGATCGGGGGAACTTCGTCAGTAGGTGCATATCTGTGTGAAGCTACATCACCCTGCCACTCACAACGGGCAGCCCACTGAGGCTCGGCAGGTGTGAGCCTGGCCAGTACCTGGACGGGAGACCTCCTGGGAAAGCTGAGGCTGCTGCTGGAACAATGTCCTGGTCATTCAAAATCCCAGGGAGTTTCTCGAAAAGAGTCCTGGCCAAATTTCCCCCTGGCCTTAACCAATCATTACCTCTTAATAATCCCCATCTCTGACCTGGCTTCATCACTCTGCTCTCCTCCCCACTCATAGCTGGTGTGTGGTGAGCGTACTGGTGCAGTTTGGCTGCCATCACATCATCCAGCTGGGGCACTATACACTATAGGGAAGTCCACTATTAACTGTAAAGTGCTTTGGGTAGAGTGACCAGAAAAGTGCTATATAAGTATTATTATTAGTCTCTTGACACCTTCCCTTTTAAATAAGCATATTAAAGGATCCCAGAGGTACACTGCTTTGCTCCTTCTAATTTTGGCTATGCACAGCTGAAAATCAGATCCAAATATCTATTATCTACTAGCAGCTTGCTAGCTATTTGGGCCTGATGGCTTCCTTTTGCTTTTAAATATTCGAATGTTCTAACATTTCTGTGACCGTGACACAAAATGGCTGAGAGTGACTTGATGATATTTGATCATTGTAAATAAACTGGCAATGTTTACTAAAACCTGGTCCTTTCAGATGCATTCCACACATTTTGAATCCGTCAGAATTTACCATTATTATCAGTTAATTATATAACCACCAAAGATTCATCATCTGTCGGTATCTTGACATCTCGGCTCACAGTAATGATGCCTGTACCAGTATGGTGGGACGAGGGTGTGCAGACCTACCCACACATGGAGCTGTTCTTTTCTTGGCTCTGCAGCAATGCCCCAGAGAGTCAGCGTGGACTGAAGGAGAGACACATGCCTCCCTGATATCACCCAGGAACTCACAGGGATCGCTACTTCCCTGGGAGCTGAAAGAGATCTGTCTGGCTAATCCCTACCCTACCCCAGGGGCTCTGAGCCAGTCTGCACTGTGTCTTGAGGAATCCTGGTCACAGATGCAGATATTTCACCTGTGCACATTTCACGCTACAGAGTAGGAAATGCAATATCCAATTGCTTCCCTTTGCATTTGATAAGATAAGATCACTTTATTAGCCATACATAATTTCTTGCATTAGGAATTTGGCTTTTTTCCCATACCCCAGCTTGCTCTCCATGAGACACACAGACAGGGAGAGAAGCTTGGGGTCAGACTGCAGGGTCAACCATTTATACGGCGCCCCTGGAGCAGTTTGGGTTACGGGCCTTGCTCAGGGGCCCAACAGAGTAGGATTCCTCTGCCAGCCCTGGGTTTCGTACCAGCAACCTTCCAGCCACAGGTGTAGATCCTTACCCACAGTGCTACTGCTCCACACCTAAATTTTAAATTTAACTTTTTCCTTTTAGATTTGAGTTTTCATATTCTGGAATGCAATCATGCCCATGGAGGTTTGTTTAAAAAAGCAGTTCAGGCAGATTTCACATTGTAACCTGATAAGGTATAAAATACTGTTGCTGAAATCAGGGAACCTGATTTTAATATTCCCAACAAAGGCAAAAAAAGGATACTTGCCATTGATTAAAACAGTTTTCAGCACCCCGTCCTCCTCAATCTCAACTCTTTCTTGGCCATTCTCTCGGATCCTAATAATCAAGAGGGGAAAAAACAAGCTGAGCACAAATTCAGTCAAGTCTTAACCGACATGTATCACACCTTAACACTGAAGCTTCTGTATTTACTCGTTAGGGTTGGAAATCAATCCGCTAGCAAGGTGGTTTGAAAATTTACAGTATAATAAATCTGTACTCTAAGTCATTAACATTTATCATGTCACCCACCAACTCACTTTGGTTATTATAAGAGAGTAGGAGAGTACAACAAACAGCACGCAACCTCATGGGAATGTAGTGACAGCTTCTTCAGAACAAAGCTGGACATCAGTGCTTCTCTTGAATGAGTGTACTTGACAGGAAGACATGTATCAGTTGCAGCCCTAAGAAAGTCCTAGTCCCAAAGCAATTATACAGTTTTACAGTTCAAACAGCATACACTGCTCATGTCATTACAGGAACAGCTAGCATATCGGATTACTATGAGTATATGTTGGGCTTCTAAAGAGTTGAAAAGAGGTAGTTCTGTGGCGCTTATAGTTGCAAAACGTCCTTAGAATCCTCTTGCTCCTCCTGTGAAAAACAGTGGAGCTAGTAGCCATTCTATTTTTGGGCTTCAAAGGGGATATTTAAAGCTGCACTAGAGTCCCATTAATTCTTTTTAGGTTTGGTGTAAGTTTGCTAGTGTCAGGTCTCTTAACTGGGCTAACCAAAAAGTTACGTTCTGACACCCAGTGGGAGATTTCTGAGGAATCTAACGCCCCACTTACATTAAGTAACACAGGTGAATAATCCTGCCTCCTCTGAGATCTGTTTGTCTCCTATAACCACATAGACATACCTCCACTTTCTTCCCTAGATTCATTCACCTCATTTAACATCTGTCAACATCTGTTTAGGGAGATACACACACTTTGTCTTGAGTAGATGAAACCATTGCCTTTAAGGTGTTCCTTATGGTGCTTCATTTGCAGGCTTGAGATTTGTTTCACCGATACTGGAAAAGGCTGAACCCAGATCCTCACAATTCTTGTGAAAATAGTAGTAATCATTGTGAATGTGTGTCACTATTAGTAACTGTAAATACAGTATGTATTTGTTTTTTTTTAATTTGCTGCCTTGTTCATTATTCTACCACATCACTGTGATGTGACAAAAGAAACCACAGATCAACACATAGTTTTTAAGTGACATTCACGGGTATTCACTAAAAATAGGGGGTGTTTGATTGTGAATATATAAAATTCGCTTACAAATCAAGCTGTTATTATGATCGGGTTTTCTCTTTAATATTTTAGGCTCATGTAATTCAGTTGTTCCTCACATTGAGCTCTCTGATCTAATGGGTAACGATTGTTATCCTAATAAAATCCCCCAGTCAAAACAGTCACAAATCAGCTGCATAAAATTTAAGATTCACTTAGCTACTAAATTACAAAGGAACAAGACCGACCAAACAGCCTCCTCTCAATTCTAACCTTGCATACTACCGTATTCAGACTGAAGACTGCTTGCAAAAACAAGACATCCCAGACAAACAGAAAGGAGATCATCTTATCACAGAACTTGAGATATCCTCAAAGCTCTTTGCGTCCAGTTGCCCAAATCGAACTGGATGGAAGACGGAAGTCTCACATTATATACCAAGTCTCGCTATTTTGCACCTTCACAGACAGCCAGCTCAAACTGAAAATGCAGTTGCAGCTGCCAAAATGACTGTGCTGTTACAGCTTGTGCAAATAAAATATAAAGATTAGATAAACACCCATGGATGGTTTGGGGGTAAATTGTACCTTTCCATCCACCATATAGTAGTAAAGGGATATAGTATGAGGCTGAAGAGTCAAAGTGTGCAGGTATGATCTGATATAGTAACCTTTCATCAGTTCTCTACATTTATATCAGTCTACACCTACTGTACAAGTGGGAACTGAGACATAATATTGAGCTGCTGTGTGGCCCCTTTCAAAGTTGATCAGTCTGACCATGGCAAGGCTGTCTGAAGGCATGTGCGTTTTTCTTATAGTGAGAAGAAACATAACAGCCAATTGTGATCTTAGGATCTGTCTATTATGTGCTACGATATGCCATGCACATTTCATAAGGTACATTTAATATTTATTAGAGATTAAAACTAGTGCTCAAACAGAAGCTGTAGAAGGACATTCGCTGGGGGATACCAAGAATGAACAACATTACTTGTTTCATTTAATAAGTATGGAATGCACTGTGCACGGATTTTCAGAACAAAGACACAAAACAGTGGGTCTTGTTTTCTTACCGATATCAATCGCAGAAAGAAAGCATGAACTTATCTGTTTGTTAGTCAAAATCTCTGGATGCATCCTCATTAGAGAGCAGCAGAAAGAAGCCTTACTTTTTTGTGGTGGTCCGTTTCCCGTTGACTATCCTGGTTGACGTAGACACAGACCGGAAACCACCCATTGCACTGCCCATACCATCCATGCCCCCCATAGAGGATGAGAAGGAAGTGAAGTTCACTGCAAAGAAAGGTGCTCGTGTTGAAGGAGTGGAAAAAAATAATAATAAGACCTTGGTACATATCTAAGTTTAGCTCCTTTTGTTTTTCCTTCCAAATCTTGTGCTGGGCTTTCAGACAATAATACAAGATACATTCGCAGGTCTAAACTTTCAGATGTCATTACTGCTAATGGAGACTGAATCCAAGGAAATGAAGAAGTAAAGAAATAGTCTGTTTTTCCAGCAGTTAGACTCTATAATATTAAAAACAAGCGATTGAGGTGTTTCTACAAGGTAAAACGAGAGAGAAAAACCTTACATGTAATGTCAGTGGGCATCTTGTACGACATGTTAATCATTACAAAGATTCTCCTTGAGCACGTTGCTATCTTAAAATACTGAGCTTTCACCATTTAGATTACTCCACAGGTTAATATTTTATATTCAAAGGTGCAACATTAAAACTGCAAGTGCATTAACACAATCAGGCATGAGGCAGCAGCTTCAAATCTCTAACGGAACAGCAGATGCGAAACTGGAATGACTTGCACTGGTGCCAACGCCATACTTTACCTCCTGTGGAAGGAAAGGAAAAGAATCGGCTTGGTCCAAGCCGGGAGCTGCCAGGACTTCCATGAATCCCGGAGAAGGGGCTGAAATCGTCTAGGAGGAAGGCAGAGGACACAATGACAGAATGCCTTGACCGAATCTGAAACCCGTGAGGTCAAAGCTAGGACATGTGATTAACAGGCACTTCACAACCATGGTGACAACGCCCAGGGGAACAGACCAAAGAATCAGCCACTGTAAAGTCAGGGAAGTGATGGTGGGAGAATTAAATTAGAATTTTTTTAGGTCCTTGAAAGATCAGCAAAACACATTTTCCCTCTCATTTTACTTCTAGGACTATGCACGTCCAAAACCTCGATTACATTATCACGATTAACGGCATTGAAAAAATCCCTATCCTGGGAACCGTGGGCAGTGATAGTGTTTCACATGATTTGGGAATCCGTCAAGCAAACAGTCAACCATGAAGACCAAGGAAGTTCCAACACAACCCACTGAAAGCAGTGCAGGTGATTATTAAAAAGTGAAAGGTGGATTGAATCATACACACAATGCCTATATTAGGCTGTCCCTGGCAAAACTGAGCAGTGCACAAGGAGGAAACTCATTAGGGATTCTACCATGAGGCCAATGGCAACTTTGTACATGATCCCCAACCAGCTGAACAGAGATTGAGCAATGTCACAAAATGGCCTGACCAATGCTCAAAGTAGGTCTATCTTCTGAAATGACGATGGCACCACCGCAAAGCACTCAGATATATCAACTGCAATTTATTTACAGTGCTCCTCTTCCCAATAAGAAAAATGGGGAACAAAAGTTGATAAAAAAAAACAGTTCTTAAATCCAGAACAGAAAGAAATCATCACAAAACCAGTTAGAACTCTATCTCCAACACACCCAATTACCCACCAACCAACCAACAACAACTCCCTAGGCTGTGGAGCAGCTTATATTGTGTGTAAGCCCCTCCCCCCTGGAATGAACCATTATTTTTTTACATACAAAACAGTTCACAATTCCATAATTAATTCAGTCTGTTCACAAAAGAAAGAGAAAAACAGGTATATCCACAATAACATTTTATCACTTCTCTTGTACTCTTTTCAAAATAGAAAAGGAAAATGGAATTTCCCCCCAATACACATGCATGTGGTTCTTCCCTTTACACTATAAATATACCTTTAGAACGGGGGGTTAGGTTTGGCCCTTCGAAGCCACCATAGGCTGGCACAACCCGGACGTCTCGAACAACAGATAAAACAAACAGTAAGAATCATTCAAAGTGAGCGCGCTCTCCATTCACACAAGAGCAACACTCAAACGAACAGACAATTACCATGTATGCTTCTGTATGTATCTGTGCCTCCAATTAACAAATGGCTAATAATGGCAGTCACCAGCCAATCCTCGAGTGTGCACCCTCGGGAACTAGCTAGCAACCAGTCAGCGAAAAGTGTGCGATTTGTGTGTTTTCCAGTGCTACGTGTGCCTCGTTGACAGACTCCTCTGTCATAAGCACATACGCAAAGAAGGAGTGAACACTGCACCGTTGCAGTGTGCAAAGTTGATAAGGTCTCATCTAAAAGGCATAATTATAATTAATTATAATTGCTTACACTTTTATAGCGCTTTTCTGAACACTCCACTCAAAGCGCTTTACAGGTAATGGGGACTCCCCTCCACCACCACCAATGTACAGCATCCACCTGGATGATGCGACGGCAGCCATAGTGCTCCAGAATGTATTTGGCATGTATCTATAACTGTGCCAAAGACACTTCCACCACGTATCGATTCAAAAGGGTGATTATGTTATGACTCAACATTCATTTAGCTTTGGAGTTTTCTTTTCGCTTTTTCATTCTGTTGAATGTTGCATCAAAAATAAATACATGATCAACTGACATAAAATGAATCACTCTGCAACATCGCACTACGAAGCAAAAATAATGCTCATGTATCAGTAATTGTAGGAATAAATAACTGGCTGGGAAAAAAAAAACAGATCGAGAACATCACTTAACACTGCAATACGCTGAAACCACGACACGGAAATCAGAAGCAGAGAAAGCAGCTTTATTCTGGAATACTTGACTTAAGGGGACGAGAAAGCAGGCATTTCCCCAAGCAGAGGAAACCTACCTTCTTATTGACCAATTAACTCACCGAAGAAACTTGCAAATGGATCTTGGCCGCCGAAAAACTCCCTGAAGACCTCGTCGGGGCTGCGGAATGTGAAGGTGAATCCCGGGAAGTCTGCCGTGTCAGGTCCTCGAGACCCTGGAAAGAATGGAAGAAGAGAGACAGTGCGCCGTTAAACTCAGACCAGAGCACAAGAATCCCCCCATCCTGCCTCACAGGATCACAACAAACAGGCTGCCCTATTTCTCCTGAACAAAAACAGTAGCAAGCTCCATTTTCAAACTGCTTTGTACCCCCGCACAGGAAAACGTCTGGTCCTCTCCCTTTTCTTACAATTGTCCTACTGTGTACAAAATAATCTGGTGAATCCGGTTGTTTAAAAAAAAAGGTCACTTTTCGTATTAGAAGCAGGCTCTACCGTCTCTTTTGATCTCCAAAACAATCCTGCAACATCTCTGTAAGCAGCGCCCATTTAAAAGTCAAAAGCAACGCCGTGTGGTAATGAGGGAAACTAACAGCAAAAGTTCATCTTGTTTAAGTTCAAGAAAATCACAATATCCCTATTTAATTTTCTTTGTACGTCTCTATTGAGCTTTCAAGAGAAGGAGCATGGGAGCTTAAGTGTATGCAAATAAACTTGAAATTAAATCTCAAATAGCTGCATAATTATGTTGCTTTACATTCTGTGTTTCATTAATTCAGAGCCACATCTAGTTGGCTTTCCTTGAGGTGTTTTATGAACTTTGATGCAAGCAGTATGACACATAGCATCTTCTATCCAGCCCTACAATTTTACAACGTAACCTTGTCAGCTTCAGTATCCCTAAAGTAAAAAAGCAGGAAACACTGCAGATCAGAGTTTGTACGGAAGTGGGTTAGCTATTTTTCGTACCTGCACCAGACAATCCATCCTTTCCATATGCATCATAAGCCTCCCGCTTGGTTCCTGAACAAAAAAGAACTGTCAGAACACATTCAAGATTTTTTTCGGTGAAAACCCGATTGCTTATTGGTGTACAGGAAGATGGCTAAACATTTAAACGCATACACTAGTAAAATCAACATTCCCACTATCATCTAGTCCGCAAGACAATTTCTTTCACCGAAACCACTTGAAATGTCTCAAGCTGGGTCCTAAAGAATTATGCTGTTGCATGAATATAAACAGAGAAACATAGAAAGATGGGCTTAAAATGCATTGGGACATCATGATTTATTTTCCTGACTTCACTGTACATTTGCAACATATTACATTTCAGGTTACAACAGACACATGCTGGACACGATTAAAGAAAAGAAAAAAATTATAAAAAGGCAAAGCATCAAATCCACAATGTTTATATATAAACACTGGCCCCGATTCACATGCTGTTAGCGCATTAACTCTCAATGCACAACTACTCTGCCCAAACCACACAACTGAAATACCTATAGGCTGCACGTTGACTGGTTTGGGGATCGGAAGGCTTAACGAAGGCACAATGTGAAGTTTGCAGCTTAATTATCTTGAATTATCCATCCATTTTCTAACCGCTTCTTCCAATTCAGGTTTGCAGGGCCACAGCAAGCAACCGACGCAAGGCAGGCTACACCCTGGACAGGACGCCACTCCATCACAGGGCAGACACTCTCACCAGGGCCAGTTGTCTCAGAAGCCAACGAACTTACTAGCACAGCATCTCTTTGGACAGCAGGAGTAGACCCACGTGATCAAGGAGAAAACATACAAACTCCACACAGACAGCACCCCAGGTCTGGAATTGAACCCAGGGCCCCAGCACAGCAGGGCAGAAATGCCAACCACTACACCACCATGCCACCCTTGGTAGACCATCCATTTTAAAGTTTTATTAGGTCAGTTATTTATACCCAATCATTTCTAACAGGTAGATTGTGTTGTAAAAAACATAATGCATGTGACTACACAATCACAGAGAAAACGAACCATTCACTTAGATTTATAGATTCCCCAGATTTCACAATCTGAAACTTTCAATAAGAGGCTCAACCAGCCACCACTACGTTATAATGAGGCTAACAAATTGGACTGGAAAGTAAGTCACTCAATGGCTTTTCCTCAAGCTTGAGGATGGCAGTTTTCCACAAACCTAAAGGCGACAGATGGGATCAAGACTGGATCCACACAATGAGCAGGTGTTGACCTGGGACATCTCGTTATGTGCCGTGAAATCCAGTCATAGCGAGACCTGCTCAGTACTCTCACATTGCTTCCTTGTTCTGACGTCTAGAAGTCTCAAAGTGACTGGCTCCTTCTCAGACATTGTCCCTCTATCTGGTGTCTGTCAATTTTCTCAACAGCTGATACTGGTGGTGCATTTCCCCATGTTTGTTCTTATTAAATCTTTGAAACGCTTCTTCTGTCCTCTGGAATAATGGCCTTGGATAAGCTGTGGGACAAGGATTTAGAAGCCTGGGGTGACATGGGACATGACCAGCGCTACAGAATTGAGGTGGCTGATCACAGGTTCAGAGCTTGTAGTGTCTGTTTGGGGGATGCTAGTCTGTCTGTCCTCTCACTCAATTTGTCAAATCTGCCCACAGTTTTGGGGCAATAATACCCCAGTTCTTTTACTGTAGGTGCCTCCTGTATGCCATCCAGGGTGCTCTACATTTTCCAGGCAATCATCATAAATGCAACCCAATGGCATCAGGGCATTTGTCTTGTGAATATTAACCCCACCTCATGCTATGTCAGTAAACTTGCTCACAACTGAGATCCATTTCGGTCAGGACCCGTCCAGTACTGTGGCATCATCAGAGCACTAGAGTTTGATGACTGATGTCACGGTGGTTTTATTTTTGGCCTTGAGTTGTGCAGATATAATAATTTACCATCCATTCAGTCAGCTGCACTCCAGCAGGGAGCTTGTACACGATCAAAATAAAAGCAAGGCACTCAGAAAATAGAGTCAAAGCAAAGACACATCCTTGTATGACTTCTGTCAGGACTTCAAAGGGCTCCGTAAGAGATCCATTTGTGATGGTCCAGGTCACACCCTCTGTAAGCTCAATTAATTCTAAGCAAAGAAGGTGGATTTGCTTCTGACATTTTTCCTGTAATTGCTATTAAAATCATGTTAGCTCTACCCCTTAAAGGTCTGAACCCACAAAACGAATATGGGAGAAGCTCTTCGGCAGAAAAATGAATGTTCAGGAGAACTTTTGCACTGCTCTTTCCCATGATGCACATCAGAGAGATCTACAGTGCCTAGAATTTCTACAGATTACGTCATTTATAGATAATATCCACAAATAACAAGTCTATTTTACATTCATTGTGAATGACATACAAAATAACCTGGATCTAACAATTCTAGACAAACAGATTCAGTATCAAATCTTAAAACTGTCTGATCCAGATCAACTCTGGAACCTGAGGTGCATTACAGTCCTTTCACAGATTGCAGTGGGTGTATTTTACTGTATCTGCACAGTCACACATGAATCAATGAGCAGGCAACTGCTTCTTATGTGGCAATTTTTGTTTAACTTTACCAAGTAATCTATCATTTTGAGATAGCATGGAAGAAGAGCAAAAAAGCTCCTCACTCACTTGCAGGCTATCTAATCTATGCAGTGCTAAGTTGATAAAGTTAAAGTTAAAGTTGATAAAGGATATCAAAATTGTAGAGGCGGGGAAGCTTGTTCCAGACTCCCACAGACTTTAAGGAATATGATACCACCCCCATAGATGGGACTCAAGTTCACAATTGCCATCTTAGGAGGCCGGTGTCTTATTCATTTGGACTTGAGGACGTCAGTCCAACATGACATTACATGAACGAGAAATCGGTATCTTAATGATTGGAGTTTTATTTTAAGGGAATTTATTTCTGTACAAAAAGCAGAAATAGACAAATATACACATACACTTATGTGGCACACACATTCTGGCAAGTGCTTTATGGTAGGGAACCAATGCAGTTAAAAATATGTATCACACTTATTCAACGTCAACAAAAAGCAGTAAAACTACAGTATATATAAATACCAAATTACACTGTGCTACCAAAATGCAGAAAGAGTCTGCCAAGATTTAGGGTGAATAAAAATTAAGGAATAGCAAACACAATCATATCAGTTTTAAACAGATTATATTTGTTTTTAATTTGTCATTGCAAATAAATCCAGGTAATATCCATGTGTTATATATAAATATATATATATACATATGTTAAGTATATCCATGTGTGATTCAGAAAGTGTTTTTGTACTAGCACCAGGTTACTAATTTATATTTCAGTATTTCTGTGTCAGTTGATAGCTGCATACTGTATGGTTTTCACTGAGGGGATTATCTAGTACTCACTTTCCAATATTAACATGCTTTCAGCAATAAACTATTGTGCTGATTGCAAGAAGAAAGTACTTACCAGGTATCCAGAAGCTGTAAAGGCATCCCACATAACTTAAATATTTTCATAGTGCCCCTGCACTCCATAAACAGCTATCACTAGCTCTAACTTAGATCCACCTGTTATTTTTGGTTATTCTCTTCAACTACTAGACTTAATTCATTGCTAACTGGTTTCACATTTTCTACCATTCTCTACCAGTGCTACACCAGCTGCTGCAACAGCTAGTAATGTTTTAAAGTGTCATTGTCAGTGCCATTGTCACTAACAGAGTACGCCATACTTGCAAGAGAACACATTTATGGCACAAAGGACTTTACAAAACATCTGAAAGATCAATAAACATTAAAGAGCCATGGGAGTGGAAATATTTTCCTATATTTTTCTGAGTGTGGAAAATTATCTTCCAGGTCACTTTTTCCCCTAAACTGAACACACGTGCCTTTGGAAGATGGGAGAAAACCGAAGAAAACAAACTCAAGGACTGTGACATCACACCTCCTATCTCAAGAAGAGAAACTGTATAAAAACAGCTCAAGGAGTGATTTGTCACTTTTTGAGACCGAATACTAACTTGTTCATTCTGAAGTCAGATACAAGTATGACATTAAATAGGAAAATCCAGTGTTGAGCATTTTCCTAAGGGAGCTGTTGGTTCTTAAGCCATCTACACGTTTGTTAAGACCCGGAACACAGGAATACCTACTGTCTGACAGAACTTCATAGGCTTCTGCTATCTCTTTGAATTTCTGTTCTGCCTGTTCCTTGTTGTCTGGGTTCTTGTCAGGGTGCCACCGCAAAGCCAGCTTTCGGTACCTAAAAATAAAGCAAAACAAACACAGGAGCAGCCACTGTGAACTCAGACAGAATGCACTTCACTGGTTTATACTTAGCCAAATATTTCCAGAATGCAAGATAGCTGCATGGGGATGTGGTTGTCACCATAGCACCCAATGATAATACGATAATCAGTCAGAGGTCAGAAATTTAGTATGCCACACAGGTTTGGGGATTTTACCTTTTGACTGTGTCAGCAGCTGTATTAGGGATTAACGACAATGATGTGGCACAGTGGTAAACTGGACTTTTACAGTGGCACAGTTCAGTAAGATTTTAAATACGTTTTGTGTTCATTTATAGGGGGAGTGCTACCTTGTTATGATTCTTCAATTCTACTGGCAGACTGCTGTGCCTGAGCAAGCTAACAGGACGATTTGAATTTTTCAGAGTTTAAATATTTCAGTTCCTGAAAGTGCAAAGTACAAGCTTTTATCCTAAAGGACAAAAACCGCTGCAGCGATATAATATTTCAAGTTTTGGCTGGTGTCGAACATCAGAAACGGCAAAAAAACAATGCAGCCAGCCTAGCTGTACTTACGCCTTTTTAATATCTTCTTGAGAGGCATCACGTGCAACTCCCAAAACATTATAATAATCCACCATCTCTTCCCTCACAGATTCAGAATCACTCGCCTTCTCCTCCTGCCTGTTATAAAAAAAAAGAAGTATTTAGGCAAAGAACAGCCTAGCAAAACACGAATGTGTGAAAGATGCGCGATATTCTTAACTGCGCATTATTACAAGGGGAGAGCACAGTAGTGCAGTGGTTATCATTGCTGCCTTGCAGAGCTGGGGATCTAAGTTCAATTCCTGGGGTGCTGTCTATGTTCTCCCCATGTTCGTCCGGGTTTTCTCCAGGTCCTGACCCTAGTGTGAGTTGTGTGTGTGCCTTGTGATGGACTGCCGCCACATCCAGGGTGTGTCCCACCTCACGCTGGTTGCTCGATGTCTGTACGGGATTTAATAGGGTGCTGGTCAGAGGTGCAGCTGTGAGGTGCCCCACCTGGGATCCAATCACAGTCACTCATGGGCTCCGAACCCCTGTACACCCTGTACAAAAGGCCAGATCCTCTGCAGTGGGAGAATTCTCCACTGTCTATGGTAGGTTTTTAAGGACGGTGATGTCACTTTCTGTCACGACCGCCAGCCAGCAGAGACCAACTCTTAAACGATCTAATCAGCACCAGCAGCGGGTTATTATTAACAAGCTCCGCCGCACGCGTTAACACACCTCTACCGTGCGGCATGCCACGCTATTTACACCATCCTAACCTGATTCCCGCTGCTCGTTATTAAGTCTACTCCTTGAGAGCTCTACCTGGCTTTTTTCCCGTACCTCGTTTATTCTGGATTCTGGACTCCCCTTCTGCCTTTTCGTCTTTGGACCTCGACTCTCGTCTCGGACTGTTTGGCTCCTGTGTTCTCTCCGGATTACGACCTACCTTACCCCTTTGGACCACGACCTTGCCTCTTGCTCCGGATTGTTCGCTTCTATTGCTCTTCTTGGCTACTGAAACACCCTTTTCCTTTGGACCACGAACTCTATCACATTGGATTGTTCGCCTGCCTTGTCAACTACCCACTCCTGCGTCTGCACAGGATCCTCGTATTCTTCCACCAGGGATTCCTAGCACACACTTCGTGCCACCGAGCCCTGTTACTCAAGTCAGGCCTTAGTCGTAATGAAGGCAGCAGTCCTCAAACGGACACTGTCCACCACCTTCTGATACAGAGCCAGGGGAATCCACTGCTACTATATTAACATGACATTACACGGCACGTCTTTAAATAAATCTGGCCGCATTTAACATCCTCGTCAGACCATAAAGCAGTCTGGTCATTCTCCTTTGAGCTCTTTCCACAAACAAGCAATATAAATCATATTCAATATAAGGTTTCTTTGACTATACCCGTATTTGGAAAATAATACAGGACTGTTTCATTTGATGCAACAATCGAGTGCTTAGAATTTGTGGCTTACTGCTTTAAGCAAAATCAATCCTTACACTCAAACGTGAAAAATTCTTACAGCAATTCCCAGGCTGACAGAAACCATTAAATTAGGTTCACTGAAGCAGAAATAATGACAAGGGATGTAAAAAAAATGTATCTTTACTTACAAAGAGCTTCACAGGCACAGATAAAACTTTAAACACAGAGATCTGGTCAGTAATGGTAGACGTACTCCTGGCAGCAATGGCCTATAAATCATAGGTACTGTATGATACAGGTTCAAAGCATCTTCCAATTAATATTTTGCAGAATAAAATTAAGAAGCAAACACATTGCATGAAAAACAAGAAATAGGTCTGCTAACCAACCTTTTATTTTCACTTTAACTCACTACCTTGAACTTTTTACGGTGCTTGGAATGATAACAGAAAAGCCAATCGCACAAGGCGTGTGAAGATTCAATAGGTCATCGTTTCCCCAACTCAAAACAGGGTCCACTCTGGTGTTCAGATTTCTCCCACAGACAAGGCGCCATGCTTTTTTTCACCACAGCCCACTGAAAGCAATTTCAACAGGTAGGGCAGGTGTAGGTTCTGTACAGAAAACTAAAGAATTACAGGATGTGCATTAAATGTTACATTAAGGTCTTCCAGCTGAGTTACGGAATACCAAATGCAACAAAAATTGTGCAGTTGTCATAGGTGAAAAGAAAGTTCAAAATAAGAACAAAAGAGCCATTATGAATGACAGGAGGCCCATCAAGCCCGTTGGCTAGTTAGAGCTAAATAATCCAAGGCTCTCATTCAGCCATTTCTAGGAAAAAGCCAGTTATTATTTTCATTAGTAGCATTTGTTGCTTTGTCCATAGGCATAACATATCCATTGGCACCACTTTGAAGATTATTTCACTGAAGGTAAGTAAGAGATTCCGATTCATATTGTTACCGTTAAAGGTTTCTATCCAAAACAGAACCTGCTGAATTTCACAATGTAATTTTAATCACTGCATTACCGACCTGTATTGAAGACTACTTGAAGTGTAAGATTGCATTCCTGTGCTAAAACGTAAAAATTCTGCGTGTCCCAGTCCCGCCAAGATGGGTGCAGAAATGCCGCAAATAGATTATTGTCACATGATTCAAAAAGAAACAAATTATTTTAAAATAAATGGCATCATTTGATTATTTTAACTGTCACAATAGAAAACTTGTCAGCCATTCTCAAGGTCAAAGTATGCTGTGTTTAGCACTCAAGGAAGCTGCATACAAAAGCCCAGAGATAAATAGGTATTATACAAAGGTATAACATTGATACAATATGTAGTATATGTGTGGTTGAAGTTATTTGTTGAGTTGGTTATGAAATGTAGTCCAGTATAATGTTTGATTAAGTACAAATGGGTTATACTAAAAGCTAATAGCAAACTTTTCTTTCTCTATGCAGTGATTTCAGTAAGCTATAGTTGCTCAATACAAACTGGTTAGCAGGCCTATAGATATTTCTTGTTAGATTACAGATATGAGAAATAAAATGGGAAATTGTGACAATACAAAACTATCATAGGTTTGATAATTGGTTGGCATGGAGTTTCTTAGCTTTCCAGAGACCAGCTACTCCTGCATTCTCCTGGATTGCAGGTTTGCAGTGATGTCAATGGGAGACGCTCTGCTCCTCCAGTCAGTGCTGACTCTCCTGTCAGGCGCTGGGAAGAACACATCTCACATCATGAATAGTTCTGCATATAGGTATGGCAGAGCAGCACATCCAAAAGGTGCAGGATTTGTTGCCATACAGCTCAGTCCTAAAATGATCAGCAATTCCAGTTTGGGATCTGTATAAAAGATAGTCTATCGGTTGCACGTCTCAATAAAGGAGATGGAAAGAGTATAGATTCTTGCTGCACCACTGACAAATTTTATTGAACGAATGGGCAGCATAGTGGAGCAGTGGATAGCATTGCTACCTCACAGCTCTGGGGTCCTGGGTTCAATTCTGTTATCTGGGGTGCTTTCTGTGTGGAGTTTGTATGTTCTCCCCATGTTCATATGGGCTTTCGCTATGTGCTCCAGTTTTCTCTCCCACAGAAAGGAATACTGGAGGATTAATTGGCATCTAGGGAAACTAGCCCTGGTGGGTGGGTGGGTGTGTGTGTGTGAGCCCTGTGATGGATTAGCATTTCATCCAGGGTGTATCCCACCTTGCACCCACTGTATGCCAGGATTGGCTCCATTTTCCCTATGACCCTGTATTGGATAAAGCAGTCAGAAAATGGATGGAAGGGTTTGGTTGAAAAAATGCTAAGTAAAACTTTAATAGTACACCGTACACTGTTGTCTAGACTATATGAAACCAACTAAACCACTGTTGTTACTTACATTAGTCACTGTATGTACCCATAGTCATGAAAACTCTATACACACCTAAACACTTAGATGATAATTTCACTGAAAGTGAAAATGTAAATGAGATTATCTGGCCGATTCAATTAGTATTGTGAAAGATCACTGCATGATCTGCTTGGAAGTGACAATTTCTATATTTTCCTTCCCCCCCCGTTTCACATCTGTGCCATTTTGTTGCATTGGTATGTATTACTACCTCTTACTTCACAAAGCCTAAGGACTACTGGTGAGATTTAAATGAGGAGAGTAGGAAGGACAGATGAAAATAATCTTTTTTTTTTATTTTTAACTATGTCCTTCTGGTAGGTGAAAAGGAGAAAGAGTCTGGGAAAAGGAACAGTTTTGTGTAAAAGTTTGAGCAACCCTGGTCAAATTGTATGTTTCGCTGAATTTGAAGTGGAAAGAAGTCGACACATCCTCTGTGTGGTGCAAACTTAAACATGCCATCTTCCTGCAAATTTTAATGCACATATAGTATTTACTTAGTTTTGTAGGTTTATTAGGTTTTGTAGAGTTTTATGTTTCGTAGGTCTATTATTTTCAAAATAATAAAACACTGAATGTGGCAGGTGCAAAGGTTTGGCCACCCTAAATGTCAGTACTTAGTAAATATCCTTTAATAAAAATCACAAACGATTCCCATAGCCTTTCTATCCAAGCATCTGGATTTTATCCCCCCACTCTTCCAGCACAGAAGTATTTTTAGGTCTTCTTGCATGCCCTGCATGTCTGAGATCTCCCCAAATTTTCAATAATTTTAAGTCGGGGGACTGTGAAGGTCATTCCATTCCAAACCCTTAATCTTTCACTCCTGTACGTACTGCAAGATTGATTTCGAGGTTTGTTTTGTATCATTGTCTTCTTGAAACATCCATCCTGTTTTCAGCTTCATTTTCTTCACTGACTCACGGCCAGACAGCTTCTAAGATTAGTTGAACTTTAGTTGAATCCATTCTTTCTTTTGCCCACACAATATTTCCTGTGCCACTGGCTGCCACACAACCCCTAAGCATAACAGATCCACCCCCGTGCTTAACAGTTGGCAAGGTGTTCTTTTCTTCAAATGCTTCACCTGGTTTTCTCCACATGGATCTTCTGTGGTTGTGGGCCAAAAGTTCAATTTTCTTTTAATCAGTCCACAGTACTTTGTTCCAAAATGTTTCCAGCTTATGGAGGTTTTGTTTTGCATACTTTAGATGTATTAAGGATCTGCGCCTGTGGCTGGAAGGTTGCTGTTTCGTATCCCGCGGCCGGCAGAGGAATCCTACTCTGTTGGGCCCCCTGAGCAAGGCCCTTAACCCCAGCTGCTCCAGGGGCGCCGTATAAATGGCTGACCCTGCGCTCTGACCTGTCTGTGTGTCTGTGTGTCTCATGGAGAGCAAGTTGGGGTATGGGGTATGCCAGAAATTGTATATGCTCAATAAAGTGATCAGGTGAAAGATGTTGATTTGTGTGATGAGGTTGTAGAGAAGGTTTTGTTCTGACAAAACTCCCATGCAGTTCATTTTTGAGCAAGCAGTGGACCTGTGGATCATTTCTCTGTTAGTTATAACTGTCAGCTAAACCTTCCTGCAGGTCCTTTTTAGTGATCTGTGTTTTCTGCGTTGCAGATCTTACCAGTTTTTGAGGAGTTCTAATCAAAGATTTTTGGGGTCTTCCAGATGCTGCCTTGACTTTTAGAGACCTTTTCACTGCCCTCCCCTGCTTTGCAAGAGTGAATTATGCCTATTTTCAAGCTCTAAGACAACTGCTTAGAGGAATCCATAGGGGCTGAACGTAGGCAGAACAACAGTTACAGGTTGGAAGGGTCAGAGTATTCGTCCAAACAAGTCAGTCAAGTTTTCGGGGCCTTTGAAAAACACAATTTAAAAAGTAGCAATGAATGAACTGGAAGGATGCCTAACCATTTTGACATGCCACATTTTTTTTTTAATGTTGTTAAAATCAGCAAATGAATAGTCATTTTGCCATATAACTTACAGAAAGATTTTTGGTTTCATTTCGTACCATGTAGAGGTTGTGTCAACTTCTTTTCACATAGAGATTCACTGAAACATACAATTTTACCAAGGGTTACAAATGGTAGGAGGCCATCCAGCCCATCTAACATAACATAGCATGCCTTGGCAGAAGAACAGGCACCCAGGTTTGCCCTATCCAGCCAATTTGGTAGTCAGTGGCTAATTGATCTGAGGATCTTATCCAGCTGTTTCCTGAAACAAACCAAGGTATTGGCTTCAACAACATGGTTGTGCTGCTTGTTCCACACTCCCACCACCCTTTGTGTAAAGAAGTGCCTGCGGTTCTTGGTTTTAAATGCACTTTCATGTAGTTGTCGCAACTCACTTCCTTCCTGAGCAACAGCCTACATATCAGTTCTTGTCAAATGTTCCAAACCAAATTAATGACATATTGCCATGATTCACGAGTGGTATCAGGGTCTTTCCAACAAGCACAGTTCATACTGTAACTTACAAAATCAGAGCCCTTTTAGCTACAAAAGTATCTTTTATTAAGTATCCATTAATTCCTAAGCAAAATCCCAATTACTGTACACAAAACGTCAAGGAGAGTCTAATGTGACGGAACACAAAGATTTACATTAAAACATAATACACGCGTGTGTTGTTTTCATGCGTTTGGAAAGCATATGGCAAAGAAAAACTCCTTATCCGCGAAACAAAATCTTGAGCAATGCTAAGAAACACTTGACCACAGTATAATCATTACAAATGTTCACATTTAAATTATTCACATGAAATCCGATACCCATTCAATAGGAACAATTTGAGGCACGTAAAATCAATACATAGAAATCACAATCCCAAGGATTAGTCATTTTGTATGGAAATTGCTGTTCTATAATACTGATATCAAATCACGCAATTCCGCGCACAGGCAGTCAGACGAAACGACTAACTTCAGTTTACGCAGCATGTTCAGCAATCAGTGAATGATCGTGTCCTGACTGCACCCCCAAAATC